GGGAATAGGTTTAACAATCTTGCATGATATACAGCCATTGACGAGATATATTCAATACTAGCTGACCCGGCGAATTTCGTACCGCCTTAGCGTAGCTTTGATGCACTACTTTATTTTGTATAGCTGACCTATCTTATGTATGAGTACCTATTTAAGATGTGTTGTCACAGATTACCACAGATTTTTTTGTTTTAAATTGAATAACGTTGACATTTGTCAGCGCGGTTATCGATGTGGTGTCACAGATTACCACAGATTTTTTGTTTTAAATTGAATGACGTTGACATTCGTTACGTTATATTTTTCAATCTTTCTAAGAGATTTTCTTTATATTTTTTTCCATAAGAACCTTGTACAGAGTATTAGAAAACTACAAAAAAAAAATCAGCCAAATCGGTCAAGCCGTTTTCATGTTATGTCGTGACAACGGAAAACGGGTTTCATTTTTATATATATACTAGCTGACCCAGCGAACTTCGTACCGCCCTAAAAAAATAGGGGTTGTCCAGCGGACAAAATTGTGAATCTAAACCATTCTCAGATCCCCTTGAACACACACAAAAAAATTCATCAAAATCGGTCCAGTCGTTTAAGAGAAGTTCAGTGACATACACACTCACAGAAGAATTATATATATAAAGATAGATTAAGTGTCTCACAGACAGACGCCGCCCGCGGCTGCGGCCGGGGTCGTGGTGGTTAAAATTTGCTTAAAAAAGTAATCACACTAATATTATAAAGGCGAAAGTTTGTGAGTGTGTATGTTTGTTACTTCTTCACGTCTAAACGGCTGGGGAGGTTTTAATAAAATTTGGTATGGAGTTAGCTGACACCCTGGATTAACACATAGGGTACGTTTTACTGCGGGAAAATATCCATAATAAACCGCGGACAACACCGCAGGGCACAGCTAGTTCGAAATAATTAACAACGTTAAACTATCTCAAAATTAAACAAAATGTTAATTTTTTTTGTTACCGAACTCGTTGCATCTGCATTCAATGTGTCATTGTTTATGTGTGAGGTCGTAGTCATAGTTTTAGTGTACGCCTAGCGGCCCGCCCTCGCTTCCCTGCGGTATAGAGCTGAAGTGTAGACTACAGTTTTTGTTCTCAGGTTTGTATTATACACAATGACATTCATCTATGATTCTTCTTATACATGCGAAGTCTCAGCCCGATCGGTTTAAAATTGACAAAGTTTCATACAAACATTCATTCCCTATTTTATCCTCTGGGGGTAGAATTGATCAAAATCCTTTCTTAGCGGATGCCTACGTTATAACATCTACCTGCATGCCAAATTTCAGCCCGATCCGTCCAGTGGTTTGGACTGTGCGTTGATAGATCACTTTGTCAGTCAGTCAGTCACCATTGAGTTTGATATATATTTGTGTACGATAAATTGTGTTTGTGTGTATATTCCCCCGCAAAGTGACAGAACGATTTGTGTTTAGAATTATAGTTTTACAAATCAAGGTTAGATGGCGTTGCAGTTGTCCGAAACCGGGAATAGCTATACTATCAAGATATAATATAATAATAGGTTGGGCGGTTTTTCCCGTCTGCCACAACAATGGCTAACTAGAGCCGAGGTCCGAGTCTCAGAGAGGCCCCTAGGTTCGAGTGGTCTGGAGAGAAGACTCTCATCGTGGGGAGATGCCATCCGCCCGGAATACCTGTAGAGGCTTGAGGTCCCTTAAGGATCTCGCCGTCCCGAAACCCGGTGACCCTGTAAAGGTTATCTGCGACCAACAACAGCATACACAATAAAAATACGCTAAACTCGCAAACTATTGGTCAGTAATGTGAGTCATTAATTGTAGATGTACTAAATTAATTAATTTACCTGGATTATATATTATTATTTATTGTGAGTTAGAATTATATTAATTGTAATTAAGTGACAAGTAAAAAAATACCTTTGAATACTACTTAAGAATTGACTAAGCTTTGAATGACAACTAAGTAAATTGACATTGTAATTAATACATTTAACATTTAAGTGGCTATTAATAATTGAATTGTTTGTATAACTAACCACTTGACGATGGGTAGGCTTACAACCAGCTGCACTGTGCCTATTCCTATTTCCAATTCATAATTATTAGTTATATATAAGGTAATATTAAGGTATGGAAATAAAGCACTTGTATTTGTATTTGTAAAAAAATGGTGCTGTAATATTCAATTTCGGTAGCCTGTAGGGCACGACAAAACTATCACATAATTAAGTACCTTCAATAAATCAGAGAATGTATTAAAGCAGTTAAATTGAGTCTAATTTACACACATCGAATGAGTGCACAATTTGAATAAAATTATGTCGCTCTGCGTTGATATTATTACTAAAAATCATGAAATCAAGATTTTTTTGTCAATTGTCACGTGACCGCAAACGCCTAGGATTGGCGGAGCCTAAAATGATGTCACCTGCTTGTAAACATGCTGTCGAAGTGTCATTACTTTGTACTGTTTGACGTTTTAATGACAGCCATGTGACGTCACCTGCCTGTAAACATGCCATATTTGCTAGAGAAACGTTTCCGCGGAATATTTGGAAACATATTTTTCAATTATTTATTTTTCTACTGATAGGTATACGCAACAGAATTATGTTTGAATTGTTTAAGTAAAGCGTTTTTTCTTGTATGTGTGTTCGCCAAGCGGCGCGCTATGCTCGCATGACCGAGTGATGCTTCACTTATTAAATTTATTCAATGACCCGAGCATGAATATTGCCTAAACGCACGTAACACATTTTCAAGTTGATGGACATAAAAAAACAATATAGTAGGATTACTTTATTGACGTGAACGTTGTAAATCTTTGAGCAACAATACCACTACAATACACTTTCAATGTCGATTATTAATAGTTCCATGGCACTCTATTCTTTCACGCCATATCGAATTCGAATACTTAGTTAACTTGAATCTCGATACGCAACAAATGTCAAGAAGTTTTGTACGGAAACATGAATACATGCGCCACAACGGATGTAACAACAATTAAAAATCATCCATACAAAATTTTCGAGTTCAATATTGGTTCGTGCTAAGTCTAAAATTTCTGCACCTGCGTTGGCCTGCATTCGTTATAACAATTGTGTGATGCGTAGATATAATAATATAACATATCTTTGTATGGGTACAATATGTCGATCATGTTAACATGCAATCTTAGTTTAGATTTTGTTGAATCGAATATCTTTTACTGCCAACTTGTTCAACAGTCATTGAGACATTTCGTCTTGTCATAATTGCCATTTTATTTTACTCTTTATTGCATCATATAGTTTAAAAAATATAGTCAAATACATAGTTAGCGAAGGTGGGCTTATCTCTAAAAGAGATCTCTTCCAGCCAACCTAGGTGGTGTCGAGATTCAAAACTTAGCAGGTAACAGAAAGTGCAATAAAAATTAAACTAAATATAATTTATTACTACTATTATAGGAAATTGACTTAAAAATAATAGTTATATATATATACACATTACATAATACATATACCTACATAAATATACATAAATAAATACAATACCTATCCAAATATACATAACATACATATAAACCTGATAAATAAATACTAATAAGAAACAAGATACTTCGTGAGAATGATTCATTAAGTTTGAGATTTCTGTTTGAGAAAATGATCTTTAACTTTAGACTTAAACGAGAAGATGGTCGGACATTCCTGAATATTTGACGGAAGTTTATTCCACAGCTGTGCAGCCCTAAAAGAAAAGGAATTCAAATAGGAGATGGTATTACTTTTAGGGAGCTCAAGCGTCTTAGTAATGCAAGGTGACCCAGAAAGTGAAGGAGGGGGAAGAATCTTAAATCGAGAACGCAGGTATACTGGGGAGTTAGGATCTTTGAGAATCTTGAATCAGAAGACAAGCATATGCAAATCTCGGCGAAGACGAATAGGGAGTGATTGAAGTAGAGAGCGATAAGTAGAGATTAAACAGTATATGATTTATTCTCTTTATACAAGAAATTAATTAACGTTGAACGCCTTCATGGCACGCTATGGAGAACTATATTTTCGGTCAAACTACCTAGATATCGCTAACTGGGAGATAGCGATGCCTATGGCCCTACATTCCATAAGATCCTTACTGTCCACTGGGATAAGTGCTACGCCCCATGAAAGGATGTTTAGCCATCCTAGGCGCTCATTGAATGTACGATCTATGCTAACTTGGTTGCTTTCGCCTGGTCCTGTTTTTATGAAAAGGAACGTAAGGAGTTCTAAATACGATCCAACTGTAGAGGAAGTGGAACTTTTACAAAGTATTCCCGATTACTCATTTACTAGACTACCGGATGGACGCGAGACAACAGTGTCAGTGACAACATACTGAAGAAATTCCGTTAGATGATAATGAATACTTTTCACCCGATACTGTAGAGGAAGAGCCCGCCTTGGAAAGCCCGTTTACGGATGAAGCTGATGAAAGCATTTGTCAATCGAGTCGAGTCCGCAGACCACCACCATATCTTCAGGACTATGTTACGTCTCAGAAAAGTGCTGGGGTGAATGATGTAATCTCTTTAAACAAGAAATTGCATGTTTATATGTATTCTCTGAAGATTGTCATAATCTATTGCTTTAGGTCATGTGTCACAAATTCATGTATAATTTAATATACATAACAAAACACACAGGTAGTGTGTTTTCACCACAGGACGTAATGCAACTAGTAAACAATTGGAGCTAATGGTCTGGGAAATGTGATTTCATTTTACAAATTCGCCTTAAAGATTTAAGATTTTGTTGGTTATTATAGTAATTTATATTATTAACGGGATTACTACCATGTTCTTTGATTTTTATTTTATTTTTTTACGAATCCCCGATATTTCGGTACTCATCACGGAGAACTCTTTAAAAACAGGGTACATGGTAGTAGAGCAATTTTGTTAATAACATATATTACTATGGTGTTAGTGACCATGAAAGTTTAATACAATGTATTTGTTGGTTATTGTTAGCAGAGGGCCCCGGGCGGGCGGTATACTGGTACAGTGTAGCGGTGAGAATGCAGCCGACGGCGCACGTGGCGGCGTGGTCGGCGTATGCAGGATGGCCGGCCGTCCCGCGCGACCTGCTGGAGACGCGGCGACTGAGGCTCGCGCTACTCGAGCCGCCGCGACGAGACGCCCTCTACACGCCCGACCAGATACGACACCTCATCAGGTGATGAACTAATATAGTGCGCGCTGGGAGCGACCTGCTGGAGACGCGGCGACTGAGGCTCGCGCTACTCGAGCCGCCGCGACGAGACGCCCTCTACACGCCCGACCAGATACGACACCTCATCAGGTGATGAACTAATATAGTGCGCGCTGGGAGCGACCTGCTGGAGACGCGGCGACTGAGGCTCGCGCTACTCGAGCCGCCGCGACGAGACGCCCTCTACACGCCCGACCAGATACGACACCTCATCAGGTGATGAACTAATATAGTGCGCGCTGGGAGCGACCTGCTGGAGACGCGGCGACTGAGGCTCGCGCTACTCGAGCCGCCGCGACGAGACGCCCTCTACACGCCCGACCAGATACGACACCTCATCAGGTGATGAACTAATATAGTGCGCGCTGGGAGCGACCTGCTGGAGACGCGGCGACTGAGGCTCGCGCTACTCGAGCCGCCGCGACGAGACGCCCTCTACACGCCCGACCAGATACGACACCTCATCAGGTGATGAACTAATATAGTGCGCGCTGGGAGCGACCTGCTGGAGACGCGGCGACTGAGGCTCGCGCTACACGAGCCGCCGCGGCGAGACGCCCTCTACACGCCCGACCAGATACGACACCTCATCAGGTGATGAACTAATATAGTGCGCGCTGGGAGCGACCTGCTGGAGACGCGGCGACTGAGGCTCGCGTTACTCGAGCCGCCGCGACGAGACGCCCTCTACACGCCCGACCAGATACGACACCTCATCAGGTGATGAACTAATATAGTGCGCGCTGGGAGCGACCTGCTGGAGACGCGGCGACTGAGGCTCGCGCTACTCGAGCCGCCGCGACGAGACGCCCTCTACACGCCCGACCAGATACGACACCTCATCAGGTGATGAACTAATATAGTGCGCGCTGGGAGCGACCTGCTGGAGACGCGGCGACTGAGGCTCGCGCTACACGAGCCGCCGCGGCGAGACGCCCTCTACACGCCCGACCAGATACGACACCTCATCAGGTGATGAACTAATATAGTGCGCGCTGGGAGCGACTTGCTGGAGACGCGGCGACTGAGGCTCGCGCTACACGAGCCGCCGCGGCGAGACGCCCTCTACACGCCCGACCAGATACGACACCTCATCAGGTGATGAACTAATATAGTGCGCGCTGGGAGCGACCTGCTGGAGACGCGGCGACTGAGGCTCGCGCTACACGAGCCGCCGCGGCGAGACGCCCTCTACACGCCCGACCAGATACGACACCTCATCAGGTGATGAACTAATATAGTGCGCGCTGGGAGCGACCTGCTGGAGACGCGGCGACTGAGGCTCACGCTACACGAGCCGCCGCGGCGAGACGCCCTCTACACGCCCGACCAGATACGACACCTCATCAGGTGATGAACTAATATAGTGCGCGCTGGGAGCGACCTGCTGGAGACGCGGCGACTGAGGCTCGCGCTACTCGAGCCGCCGCGACGAGACGCCCTCTACACGCCCGACCAGATACGACACCTCATCAGGTGATGAACTAATATAGTGCGCGCTGGGAGCGACCTGCTGGAGACGCGGCGACTGAGGCTCGCGCTACTCGAGCCGCCGCGACGAGACGCCCTCTACACGCCCGACCAGATACGACACCTCATCAGGTGATGAACTAATATAGTGCGCGCTGGGAGCGACCTGCTGGAGACGCGGCGACTGAGGCTCGCGCTACACGAGCCGCCGCGGCGAGACGCCCTCTACACGCCCGACCAGATACGACACCTCATCAGGTGATGAACTAATATAGTGCGCGCTGGGAGCGACTTGCTGGAGACGCGGCGACTGAGGCTCGCGCTACACGAGCCGCCGCGGCGAGACGCCCTCTACACGCCCGACCAGATACGACACCTCATCAGGTGATGAACTAATATAGTGCGCGCTGGGAGCGACCTGCTGGAGACGCGGCGACTGAGGCTCGCGCTACTCGAGCCGCCGCGACGAGACGCCCTCTACACGCCCGACCAGATACGACACCTCATCAGGTGATGAACTAATATAGTGCGCGCTGGGAGCGACCTGCTGGAGACGCGGCGACTGAGGCTCGCGCTACACGAGCCGCCGCGACGAGACGCCCTCTACACGCCCGACCAGATACGACACCTTACCACTCTCGTGATATTACCATCATCAGCCAATTATTGTCCCACCTGCTGGGGCCTTCACTATGGATAGAGTAAGGATATTGGCATGCACAGACCTTCTTTATAGTAAAGAAGATGGTATATTGAAATTGCCTTGACCCTCCACGCGGATCCAGTGCGGATCATCGGTAGGTGCTAACGGCTGCAGATGCAGCTGAGACAGTCAGCTTAACATGTGCGTGGCTCAATATATGCTGCCGTCAAATAAATTTCAAAGACCGACACAATTCGTTTAGGTGTAAATGTTATAATGATTATTATTTTGATTTTCGATAAGATCAATCAATGAGTAGATGAAAGGTTTCATGTTATCGTGTTTGTTTTGGTAAGCTCAGTGATGTACACATCTCGGTAATAATTTTATTTAGTGTCGTTACTTGTTATATGATGTGTGTGAGTGGTTTGGTGGCTGAGTGGTTTGTACGCCGAGTTTCATGGTGTCGCCTACTCGAGAGATCCTAGGTTCGAATCAGTGGGGGCAGATGCTTGTGTGATGAAGACGAGCATATGTACTCCAGTCCAGTTAATATGTGTTTCTATATAAATATAATTATATATGTACAATATTACATATACTACGTTACCCTAGTAGCCCATAACACAAGTCTTGTATTTCTTATTTTGGGGATAGGCTAATTGGTGTAAGTGTTGTAAATATTTATTATTATTATTATTAAATGTTCCCTTAATAATAAAAAAATATTTTCATTAACATAAAAACAATAAAAACAAGACACTATACGGAGATCCCCTTATTACAAAACGTGGCAAAGTTATGTTGTGTTTAGTTTAGCTGAATCTGTCCTCTCTTTCAACGCGGAAGAGCCGCGGTGATCCGCTATTATTATTTCTTCTTCTCACTAATCGACCAGAGCGAAGTTCCCCAGAAGCGAAAAATGTTGAACTATTCAAAAGATTATATTCATATTCATTTATTGCATCTTGTTGTATACATAGGTGTTACAAGTACGGTATTATGCTTCCTACTTGGTTTTGGTTTATTGCCTTCATAGGCAGACGAGCGGCCGGGCTTCCTGATGTTAAGTGGTCACCATCACCCATGGACATAAGCAATGCCAGTGACACAGCCTCTCTTGAAGCGGAACATGTTATCCTTCCTCAGGTTCGAGTGGTCTAGAGGCTGCAGACGGAGAGGAGACTCCTCCCGTGGGGAGATGTCATCCGCCTGGAATACCTCTAGAGGCACTCGCCAATTCTCGGCTTGAGCTCCCCTTAGGATCTGGCCGTCCCCAAACCCGGTGACGCTGTAGGTCATTTGTGACCAACCGCATACACACTCAAAAAAAAAGAGAAACATGTTATTTTACTGAGGGAATACCGTGGAGAGGAGCTCATTCCATAATTTTACTGTCTGTGGAATAAAAGTTGATGTGGTTTGAGTGCGAGGTCGTTTGTTGCAGGCTGGAGACCGTAGGCCGCTGGCCTGGTACAGCACCGCCCGCGTTGTGGCGGCCGGACGCGCGCGCCTTCGACCTGGACACGCGCTGGCGACTCCCAGACATTATACAGGTACCTATAATCTACATCAACACTAAATAAAAGAAAAAAATTTAAACAAAAAATAAAACTGACTTCAAAATCGAAAATGGTACTAAAAAGTAAAAAATAATATTTATTTTTTTATTTATTTTTAAACTTTATTGACCAAAATACAATAGAATGGTACTAAAGGCGGACTTAATGCTAATAGCATTATCTCCCAGTCAACCTTTGGGAATAAAGAAAAACGCGAACGGCGGTATAAATCTAAAAATAATAATATCTGGTTCATGTTTTGGAAGTCGGGCTGGTTCAAGATTGAAAGACGTATTATTACCGATCAGAAACGAAAATCTATTTTAAAATCTTTCAATCTTATTGAATCAAATATCTGGTTCATATATTATTTTTTACTTTTAAGTTCCATTTTCGATTTTGAAGTCGGTTTTATTTTTTGTTTAATTTTTTTCTTATTTCATCCATTTTAGTGAAAATTACATCGTCCAAGTAAACAATATCACAATTGACGAAGAAATCGGTGAACATACATAAAAAAAATATAATGTCGAACACAGAACCTCCTCCTTTTTTAAAGTCGGTTAAAAACGTACGACCTCCGTAGTGGAATGGTACGTAACGTTTGGCTAGGTGTCGCCTACTAAGAGGTCCTGGGTTAGAAATTCAAAATTATGAGTTAATTATGTATTTATTAGTGGTTAAAGGACCTTACCTGAACGTGAAGTTCACTTATCGACATAAATATAATGTCGAGGACATTGAACTGAGGTATAATAATTATTAAGCTGTCCAATACAATCAATTAAACAATATGCTTATTTAATGAATTAATCTATCTATTATGAATAAGGAAAATTATGAATATCTATTATGAATAAGGGCTATTATAAAGTTAATGATTATCTAAATGATCGTAATGCATGGACATAGTGTTTCTTGTAATTTCTTATTTGATGGGTATGAGTCAGTTTAACAGTAGTATGGTACCTATCTAATGCCGCTTCCTATATATACTAAATATAAAATTTGTTGTAACTATATATCTATACCCTAAATAATGTAATGGAAGGTGACTTCAGAAGTATGTCTGAAGTCATTTTTCAACTTGACGACTCTGTATATATCAATACAGGGAGAAAAAAGCAGCCCTTGCTGAGTTTCTTGCCGGTTCTTCTCAGTACAAGGTCTCCCGCCGTAGTTTTGCGAACCGATGGCGTAGCTTCTTGACTTTCACAAGTGCTTGTAACAGCCTAGACTGAATAAATGACTTTTCATTTCATTTCATTTCATTTCATATCTAAAATTAATTTAGATAAATAATAGCATAAAAACGCATTAAACTACAATCCAAATTACTATGAAGAGAATATCAAAAGTACAGCTAAAATTTCTCTTTGCCTTTTCTATGTGCGATGTGAATTTTGGCCACTCGGATTTCAAAGGGATCCAGCTGCTACCAGATGAAAGCGTCCTCTCGAGCAAGATCGATAAAAAGCCGCATATCATTTAAATGATATTTTGCATGCGGCACTTACGTTGTGATCTAAAGTAATAGATGTTATCTCAGTACTTTAATATTATCTTATCAAGTGACTCAATGTCATGTCACGTGCTGGTTACACGAACACAAATTAGGGAATTACGCGAACAGATAACTGACATTAATCTCTTTAATTTCTTGGAATGATATGACATTATTAATTGTTTATTAATTTGACATGATTATTTATTTTACTATTTTTTGTTTTTCTTTTCTTTTTTTCTTAATTTTGTTGATTTGGAATGTATGTTAATGTTTTTATGTATGACTTGCCGGCGTTTTGGATATTTCTGTAAGCCGGCATGTGTTACTGAATAAATAAATAAATAAATAAATAAATAAACTTCAAGTGCACCAATCTACTACGCATGAACAGACTGACTGACTGACTGCACTGTTATTGTTGAGATAGTAGGTTGACGTATCAGTTACATCAGATGTGAAAAAAGGATACAATTACTATATATGTGAGGAAACAAGAGATGTGTGTAATGTAAGCATTACAGCATTTTATTGTTTTATACTTTCATGGTCACTAACATTTATTACATGTATTTTCATAGACAACTGCATTCGTTTTTACACCTTTCTCACAAAAATGTACCTCTGTTAAGCCCCAATAAGAAACTCCCAACTATACCATGAGCGAGGATGGAAAATGACCTCGTTAGGCACGCGGAATACGGTTGCTCGCTTCTTCACTACTGTGTGCGTACATACTAGTATACTCTATGGCGTACACCTTATCATTTTGTTTGTTGTAGCTCTCTTCTACGGTAAAAATTTTTTCACCCGAAAAAAGAATTTCCCGAAATTTTTTTTCCGCGTACCGCTCGCTTCAACAAAGCGCGGCATCTCTTCAGTCTCAGGTCCATTAGACGAGCATTCAAACGATGTCCTGTTTTTCTTCGATATGCCCGAAGCCCTAAGTCTTCATATAACACCCTTTTCACCGTGGTTCTGCTTAACCCCATCTGAAGGGCCAACCGTTTCTGCTTACGGTTTGGATTTCTTTGAATTCACGCCTTCACAGCTTTTATCACTGCTGGAGTCCTAACAGACTAAGGGCGACCACTTCTTGACCTGTCATCTACACCAGAGTCTTCATTGTATCGTTTGATGGTTCGATAAAGGAATCTTTTGGTTATATTCAAAATTTTCAGTATGTCAAAAATTTGAATTGGCGCGTAACCGCAACGATGCAACGCAATAACTGCAACACGGACTTCTTTAAGCGTCCACTCCATATTTAAAAATGAGTAAAATTCTAAAAAGGAAACATTATGTTTTTATTATTTTTTAAGCATTTAACTGCTAGATGTTTAAATCCAAAGAAAAGTTTACTAAAAAAAAAGTACATTTTTATTTTCATGAACAATTCGATACTCGAATTCAATAAACTTTTTTGTAGCCAGCATTCTAAAAGAAAAGTTTTTACTGTGTGACAATACGTATGACCTTACTGTGTATATACCCTCGATATGTGAACTTCACTTTCAGTAAATTCCTTTAACCACTAATAATACATAATTTAATAATAATTAGGTGTATCAAGTATATAAGTATTTATTAATTAAGTAGGTAATTAACTAAATAATGATCAAAGATTATACTTATTTAAGTATTAGGTCATGAAAATTCGATCGTATTGCGCGTAGCACAGCTAAATTACTCCGTAGATGTTCGTAGCCGCATCAGTAAGTCGTAGCATTATGTTGGATTTCCTAACCGTAGTTATAGGTTATAATAGCTAGAGATTATTTTATCGACATTTTTATTTGACATACCTGAAACTCACCTTTTCATCCCCTATAGAGCATGATAAGATAGGGGTATACCGCTATCAAGTTTACGAATAGCTATGTGAAGTGCCGGCGTATGAGGAAAATGTAATGAATAGCGGGGCAGGTTTAAGAGTGGTGTTGGGAGGAGGGTACCCATTATTTTATATGTTAAGGCTGCGCCGACTGCATATTATGAGCTGTATGCTAAACTGTGTATATTTATTTTGCTGTTTAATTCATCGTGAATTCCTTAGCTGCTAGTCCGGGGTGAACTCCTAAACTATTTAACCGATTTTAATCAAATTTGCACATCACGTGCAGTTTGATTCAACTTGAAAACTAGGATAGCTTACATCTAATTTTATAGTCGTAATATTATTTTATTGAAAATTATTACTTTTGGGCGGTACGAAGTTCGCCGAGTCAGCTAGTATAAAATTAAAAATCAAACTCATTATACTACTGCTAGCTGTATCGTAAAATAACGTTTAATCATTATAGCACAAATTATATTTTGAATTTATAAAATTATTCTGTAATAGGCAATGTTATGAGGCCAAATGTAAAAAAGAGTCGCATGCATTGGAAATAGTAGATTTATTCTTCCTATTGTAAGTTAATGTACAATATTTGCAAAGACTATTTACCTTTTTTTGTACTGGTCGTTCTACTGCAGCTAGTTTACGAAAAAAAAACGATAATATGCACAACTTCAAACGTCTCAATCTCTCAATAATGTTCAATAAATTAATTACTACAACATCAGAAATATTTTATTTTATGACCAAATTAATTACTACAACGTCAGAAATATGTTTTTGTAGTAACATACTGTATTAGAATTTTGATTTTCCATCTCATTCATTATTAAAAAAAAAACATCAAACCTCCGTGAGTTTCCCAAAAAAATAATGCAGGTTTACCTCGTATTTTGATATTGAATTAAATAGTATTACTATTAAAAACTTTCATAAAACTAATCTACCAACATTGAACTATTGAACTATGTATATATATTTTTATAATTTTTGTGACTCGAAACATCAACCGTAAAATGCAATATATACTAGTGCAAATCTACCTACGCGCCGATCAGTACGGCAGCGGCGCAATTTTGTAAAAGGGCTCCCAATTTCCCCCGCTTTCCATACAATTTTCTGCCGATCGTGCTTTGTTTTCGGGATTACAGAAAAGTTTTGCAAAATACTTCTTTGTTACCTAGTTACTTTGATTAATTTTCAATTGTTCATTTGAGCGAAGATAAAGTGCATATAACGCAACTGAATATAATTTAGGTATAACAACACCCTTGTTTCAATACCCCTTCTTTTATGAACGTCACATGCTCTCGTTATAGAACGTCCGTCTGGAGCGGGGTGGCGGCGGGGTAGCGGTCGATTCCGGAAGCGGGAGCGGGGGTGGGCTGCCCGTGGGGCTCGGGGCCGGCGCCGCGCGCGGGTGGGAGGGGGCCGCGCGGGGCTGGGCCGCCGGCGCCGTGCTGCTGGCCGTACTACTGCTGCTAGTACGAGCGCTCGAGCGATGCCTGCACCGCCGGGCCACACACACAGGTGCGCGTCCACACTAGCGCCGCCTCCGTGCTGCTGGCCGTACTACTGCTGCTAGTACGAGCGCTCGAGCGATGCCTGCACCGCCGGGCCACACACACAGGTGCGCGTCCACACTAGCGCCGCCTCCGTGCTGCTGGCCGTACTACTGCTGCTAGTACGAGCGCTCGAGCGATGCCTGCACCGCCGGGCCACACACACAGGTGCGCGTCCACACTAGCGCCGCCTCCGTGCTGCTGGCCGTACTACTGCTGCTAGTACGAGCGCTCGAGCGATGCCTGCACCGCCGGGCCACACACACAGGTGCGCGTCCACACTAGCGCCGCCTCCGTGCTGCTGGCCGTACTACTGCTGCTAGTACGAGCGCTCGAGCGATGCCTGCACCGCCGGGCCACACACACAGGTGCGCGTCCACACTAGCGCCGCCTCCGTGCTGCTGGCCGTACTACTGCTGCTAGTACGAGCGCTCGAGCGATGCCTGCACCGCCGGGCCACACACACAGGTGCGCGTCCACACTAGCGCCGCCTCCGTGCTGCTGGCCGTACTACTGCTGCTAGTACGAGCGCTCGAGCGATGCCTGCACCGCCGGGCCACACACACAGGTGCGCGTCCACACTAGCGCCGCCTCCGTGCTGCTGGCCGTACTACTGCTGCTAGTACGAGCGCTCGAGCGATGCCTGCACCGCCGGGCCACACACACAGGTGCGCGTCCACACTAGCGCCGCCTCCGTGCTGCTGGCCGTACTACTGCTGCTAGTACGAGCGCTCGAGCGATGCCTGCACCGCCGGGCCACACACACAGGTGCGCGTCCACACTAGCGCCGCCTCCGTGCTGCTGGCCGTACTACTGCTGCTAGTACGAGCGCTCGAGCGATGCCTGCACCGCCGGGCCACACACACAGGTGCGCGTCCACACTAGCGCCGCCTCCGTGCCGCTGGCCGTACTACTGCTGCTAGTACGAGCGCTCGAGCGATGCCTGCACCGCCGGGCCACACACACAGGTGCGCGTCCACACTAGCGCCGCCTCCGTGCTGCTGGCCGTACTACTGCTGCTAGTACGAGCGCTCGAGCGATGCCTGCACCGCCGGGCCACACACACAGGTGCGCGTCCACACTAGCGCCGCCTCCGTGCCGCTGGCCGTACTACTGCTGCTAGTACGAGCGCTCGAGCGATGCCTGCACCGCCGGGCCACACACACAGGTGCGCGTCCACACTAGCGCCGCCTCCGTGCCGCTGGCCGTACTACTGCTGCTAGTACGAGCGCTCGAGCGATGCCTGCACCGCCGGGCCACACACACAGGTGCGCGTCCACACTAGCGCCGCCTCCGTGCCGCTGGCCGTACTACTGCTGCTAGTACGAGCGCTCGAGCGATGCCTGCACCGCCGGGCCACACACACAGGTGCGCGTCCACACTAGCGCCGCCTCCGTGCCGCTGGCCGTACTACTGCTGCTAGTACGAGCGCTCGAGCGATGCCTGCACCGCCGGGCCACACACACAGGTGCGCGTCCACACTAGCGCCGCCTCCGTGCTGCTGGCCGTACTACTGCTGCTAGTACGAGCGCTCGAGCGATGCCTGCACCGCCGGGCCACACACACAGGTGCGCGTCCACACTAGCGCCGCCTCCGTGCTGCTGGCCGTACTACTGCTGCTAGTACGAGCGCTCGAGCGATGCCTGCACCGCCGGGCCACACACACAGGTGCGCGTCCACACTAGCGCCGCCTCCGTGCCGCTGGCCGTACTACTGCTGCTAGTACGAGCGCTCGAGCGATGCCTGCACCGCCGGGCCACACACACAGGTGCGCGTCCACACTAGCGCCGCCTCCGTGCTGCTGGCCGTACTACTGAGTAAAATCTTCCCTTAGGCCTTTCTACACTAATGACACCGACGTCATTCCAGTAATAAGGGGCTGCAATTCTCTCTCTAACTCTGACCTCCGACATACACTTCGGCAAAATACTTCAGAAAGTGTGCAAAGAACAGGGGCAGGAGTATTGTCTGGGTTTTGGTGGGCAAAGCTCACGAGTAGATACTCCCTTGCCCACCCTATTCCCAAGGGGTTGTGCTCTTCGCTGTCACCTTTTTTACTACTTGCTCAAAAGAGAAACGAGAAATATTACCGGACATTTGTAGTTCACCCATAAATACTTACCTACCTCGTTTCCGTTGATAAAAAAGATTTTTTATTGTCTTTTAGGTCGAAGACGTTCGTCTGAAGAATGGCCAACGCCGAACGTCATGGCTACAAGCTGTAAGTTTTTTAGTAATTTATTTTGTTTTAAATAATTAATGGGATTGCTATATGTGTTTTTTGCTAGTTCCTGATATTTCAGCACTATTACAAGTGATCATTACGACCATACATGAATAAGGAAACGTACAGTCCGTATTACAACTTGCACTTACGATTTGCAAAAAAACAAAGAACATGTTAGCAAAAGCAAACCCACTCATTGCTCTTCGAAAGATTTTAGTCGACCCGAAGTAATGCTTCATCATACAAACTTTGCATTATTATATTCTTAAGTCTAGGTCTTTTACGGTAAAAGGGTGAAAGACAAGCGGCACCATAGCCTGTAGACACTTGCTATATAAAAAATATCACTCGCGCAACGGCGCAAGGCAACGGCCTTCTCTGACCCAATCCCCTACCACGTGGAGCCCTGGAACCTAACTCATCGACAGAAACCCAACACCACCAAAAGGTAGTGTAATTTCACTGCAGTCTCCTAATAAGATAGATGTTACTTCCCTAGACGGCTATGCCCTTCGTCTCTTAACTAGTTTAGTCTCATATATAAAAAAACCAGCCAATTCACTTGAATGATTCCACCTGTTAATAGTTATCACTTTTATAATAACATTGTAATATAATCGTTATATTGCAGGTCAATACGGAGGTCCTCACCCTAGACTAGACGACTCCGACACTTATCAGTCCGACAACAGAGACACATCAAGCAACGATCTCCCCCCGCCATACTCCGAGTGTGCCAACGACGAACTTCCAAGCCCCGATCCTAACAAAATTATAGGAATGGAGGAACCACCGCCTCCATACTCAGCTTGCTACTTCACCAACCCAAAAGATGGTATACCCACGGTCCACTTCTACAATAGAAGAAACGATCTAAACACCATTGCTGAAATAGGACATTCGAGCACTGATCTCGCTGTGGCACCTAATTTATCCATAATAGGAAACGATGAGGAAGACAAGATCTCGAATTGTGATGTAGAAGATAATAGAGATGTAAGAAACGCTAACAGAGGATTTGAAGACGATCGTAGGATAAACTATAACGCCAATGCTGACACAAACGAAGAAGTCGCTAGACATAGGGGTAACGACCATATTGTGGATATTAGAGAGTTAGAAACACAAGAACGAAATCCAAGAGTGTAATTAATATTGATCGCCATGGTTGGTGTTTCGAGATTCTGTTTGATGTAGGGGAGTGCGCATCGCTGATAAATACTCATGGATGGGTAAATTTCGTGGATTCAGCAGGAGTAATAGTTTTGTTAATTTATTTCGGTGAAATTTGCATCCACCACGTTCTTTATTCGTTTATCGAGACGCTACAAATAGAAGTGTACTTATAATTTTTGTATATTTTTATTTTACCTAGAGATAAATGTAATAATAGGTATTTAATCTACCCTATGTAACGAATCTTGTTAGTGATTTCATGTAATATAAGTTATTACTGTGTGACCACTACGATTAAAACGACCTGAAATTGTATAGAAATAACAATAACGATAAACGTATTTTTATCTTTGTGTACCTGTTGAATATTTTCTAAATAGTTGTTTAGAGCTATTTTAAAATCTTAGACCTAGATTAACTTTTGAAATCGAATGCCAGCCCTTTCTATTACCAATTCACTTTTATTTAAAAAAAGGAATGTTATTTTATAGCTATTAACGGGATTGTTACCGTGTACCTTGTTTTTTATGAGTCTCCGATAAAACAAGGTACATGGTAACAATCCCGTTAATAGCTATAGTGTAAGTGACCATGAAAGTTTAAAATATTAAATTGTTATTTTATTTCTCTATTATTATTTTTATTGGTTTGCTCACTTCATCGAGGATTTTTATTAAATTCTTAATTAGAGTGGGCTCACAGTTGATAGTATTGCTTTTTGCAAATTTAGATATACTTAGATAACACTTTTGTAATTTTGTAGTTGCAACGAGCTCAACACTTAATTCGTAGATACCCTAGAACACTGCGATATGTACTTACATTTATGATTATTCTCTTATTATATATGTATTTTTAAATGTAAAGTCCTGGTTTGGTCTATTTAAAGCAATAATATTATAACATAAAACCACGTGCTCCCACTTCTACTTATATCGGTAATCCTGTTGCCAAAGGATTAAATACGTTTCCCAATATTTTTAGACACAAAATATTGTATCATAATTTACGATGAATAAAAGAAAATAAGGGAAAATAAATATGCTTTACTCATTTTAATTCCCCTTGTCACTTTTATCAGATAATAAATGAAAAACCATTGTTCGTATAATTGGTTTTATTAAGCTCTAGGTAAATCAATAAATACTTATTTTTCTATTACAATAGAATTATTATCTAATTATAAATATTGTCTTAAATTAATTCATTATTTTCATATAAATGCACTTTGAGCCTTAAAATAACCAATAACATTTTTATACATCCATTTAAGCGATGGTAATATAATCATTATAAGCTCATGTTATTTGAAAAATTCTAAAGAAAATCAGTTACAAATCCCTAAGAGATCTCATCGCCTTCCCCTATTGAAATATTTTGGTTTAGTATAATCTACACTTAAATTTAGTGATAATAGTAAATTACCTACAGTCTTAAATTCACAACGTTGGAATTAGCACCGACATTTTACAATAAAGTCTTTAGAAAATAAAACTATTTGTTCTACTATATATTTTTATGAAATATTTGATTTCAATAGTGGGTTCTATCAAATTTCAGTGATAGTAAAATATTGCATATATAAATATTGACAAATATATTTGTGAAAGAATATGATTTATAATCGACGTTTGGTTATCAGTATGCAATAGGTATTTCAATGTGTTCAATTACTCGTATTTTAACACGATATGAAAGTAGATGATAAACTTCTTAGATGATTTGTTTACATTACATTTGCGTTTTAAGTGAAAATTACATAAATTAGGTTAGGACCACTTCACAACCAATGAGATTTTTCATTGTCATTATTTTAAAAGATAATTCTTATATCTCATGAATGCCTACATCATTATTATTGAAACTAAATATTTAAATGATAATTTTCAAAAGAATACTTGAATACTGAATCTCTCATAATAAGAATCTACCTAACTCCTTATCTTTTCGAGTTTTTATAATAATAGAAGGCGGAAATTCAAGAAATTTATGTATTTTTAAACTTCCTATCGGCATAATATATCGTATAATAGAATAATAGACAGTTAGTTACAGAATCAGCTATTAGATTTTCTTTTTAGTTTGAAAAATGCAGCTGACTTAAGATGCAAGTTTTCAATTTTCATTGTTAAAACAATCAGACACATTTCACATCACGTCTTTGTCCTTTCAAACAAATAGTTCAGCGCCATTTATGAGGCCAACTTCGAACATATGTAAATTTCGATTGATTTCAAAACGAGTTTAAACCACCAAAAATTTATTTAATATGTATTTTTCTTTCATTGGTGGTTTGGAGTACCTAGTGTGCAATCAACTACACGTCAAGTTACCAAAAATTGCCTTTATCTGATATGATATGATTCAAAATAAATTTTGCTTAGGTGGTAAGCGAGTTTTGAAATTATCCGTTTAGTCCATTCCATATGTTTTGCGATCAAAATCAAACAAAGGGGCTGATAAGCCAGACCATAAGGGACGGGAAGGGTAAAAAGATCATCGACAGCCGGATACCACGTATTTTACCTACAATCAGGATCATTTTTGTTTTTTAAATTATACCTCAATAGTTATGAAGTTATTGAAGGGTGGGCTTCGGCTATTTCGAAGATCTTTTTAAACATTTAAAAATTGACCAAAAGTTGAATGATCAGATTTTTTGTAATTGATTGGGAATCAACAGACGGCTAGTTGAGAGGTAAAACTTTGTCTTAACACTTGCTTTTGAAACGTTTGAAATGGACTATAAATTCGTTTAAATGTCATTAAACTTCACTTGCGGCATTATTGCTAAATCTCGATTCAACTACAACAAGATTGAGGGGCTGCTTGCAGCGAATTCGCTAATTTTCGATTCAACTAAAACTAGATTTAACTCACAGAAAATGTCAATTTGACGTCATTGGATGGGCTAAATCTGGTTTAGTTAAATTGCTACAAGTGGACCCACAGAAAAATGTCAAAACTGAATGTAAATTTGACATTATTGTACGGACTAAATCTCATATGAAATAAGGTGGCACTGATGTTGCAGATACTGCAATCAGGAGCGTGAAACACAAGAACAATGTGGACAAAACCACCAAAAGTGGGCAACTTATCCTTATCCATAGGGATAAGAGGCTCACATTCACATAGAATGACATTCACATTCACAAATTATACTACGTTTACACGTTTTTTGGGATGACATTTAACAACATGCCCAGAGGAAATCAAATCTCGAAAAGCTGGAAACGTTTCGAGCTTCTTAGAAGCTGTCGGAGTAAAAGAGATATATTGACTCGATGGCGAGTTACAATAGGTCGCACAGACTACAGGGTCATTAGGACTGCAAAGCCCCAAAAATCTAAAATAATGGGCTAAATCTAGTTTAATTAGGAGCTCGATGGCGCAGGTGGCTAGCGCGTTCGGCTGCGATCGTTGGAAATTAAGCAACTTTCGCAATGGACGGTCATTGGATGGGTGACCAAAAAGCTTCTGTCTCGAGTTCCTCCGTGCTTCGGAAGGCACGTTAAGCCCGGCTGCATCTGCAGTCGTTAGCACGCACCAATCCGCACTGCCTATGCCATCCATAGGGAAGGCTTGGGCCCCATCAGGGGGAACATTAATATGCTGATGATGATGATGAAATCTAGTTTTGGTGAGTAGGAGATTTAGCGAATTTGCCGCAAGCGGGTGTTAGGGTTGGTCTGCTTATAGTTCGTTGTTGTTGCGCCGGCGCACGTAGCGCGCGAAGTAGTCGGGGCGCCAACACTTGCAGGAGCCCGGCACCAGGAACCAGTCGTAGTACAGCCGCACCTGACACAATCACACAATGCGGAAATATATAGTAGGGGAGCCCAAGCGGCGAGTTTTGGATTTACTCGAGCGCGGCAGAATAACATATGGGGAGCAATCTTGCACCCAGTTAAGTTCTCCCCCCATACCTGAACCCTCATATAGGGCCAAACGTCTAGGGTAGCAAAAACAAAATTTCAACCAACGGCCAGGACTTTTGGTCGCGCCTAAATCGAAGAAACGTTTCTAGGAACGGAATAAATATTGATCTGCCGCGGTTTGCATGATATAGGGGTGGTCATCGGAAGGGGTAGAATATAGGAAAAAATATCCGAGCGCGTCAGACATTGAGAAGGAATGTTACGTGAACCTTCCAGTAGCTCCTATTCAAAAGATTGACGATTTGGACCCGACCAAAAGTCATGGCAAGGTTGCTCCCCATATGTTATTCTACCACGCTCTAGTAAATCCAAAACTCCCCGCTTGAACTCCCCTACTGATAGTATAAAGCCTCCATGACACGGGGCGGGGTTTACAAGCTACAATTAACTAGCTAGCTATAATCAACTTATTATATATATATTAAAATTAATGTGATGAAAGTTGAAATCAACACATGTTTTCAATATTTGATGTCATCTTTCAATTGACGACACTGTATGAAACAAAAACAGGGAGAAAAATAATAGGCCTTGCTGAATTTCTTGCCGGTTCTTCTCAGTACAAGGTCTCCCGCCGTAGATTTACAAACCGATGGCGTAGCGTTTGACTCTCACAAGAGCTTGTAACAGCCTAGACTGAATAAATGAGTTTGTGTTGAGTTTAAGTATACAAGCCAGCGAGTTCGCTAGTGGCTTGTAAACGTATCATCGAGTAGCAGATGGTAAAAAAGCCGATGACACGGGGCGAGTTTGCAAGCTGCTAGCGAACTCGCTGGCTTGTAACTTGTAACTCGCCCCGTGTCATCAAGGCTTAATCACGTAAAAATCGAGAAAGGTCGCTTTATAATATGATGTAGTAGAGTGTGTAGATGCAGTAAAATGTTCTTTTTTTCCTATCTATCGTAAAAAAGATGAAACAATAACGTCATCAAATACCCCATTTCATTGTTGAAAATATTAATGCAGTTAATGTATTTTTTTTAAAAGCAATATAGTATGAAATCGGACATAACAGTCGTACAAAAACAACGGTGCTAAATTTTTTATCAATTTTTTTATCAAATTGATGAATGAAGAATTAAATTGTTTTTTTTTTTACATTACAATAAGAGCTGCACCTGATTCAATGGTTCAATCACAGTTTCAATCTTGAAAATCAAGAAAAGTAAGCTATAGAAATAATTCAAAATATGATAATACTCAAATAGTATATTAATTTAATCTTCAACCTATTAATGTCGCATTGCTGGGCTACAGGCCTTTTCTAGTTAGAATAGAAATATTTGCTTGTAAATAACTTTACCATATTAAAATCGCAGTTTCGAAAACGATAGATTTTTTAGACTCTTACTAGAGTCTAAAAAGAACATTTAGACTCTAACTAAAGTCTAAAACATCTATAGAGATTTGCAAATTAATATAGTTTAGTTTTAATGAAACTGTATGGAACAAATACCTGGAAACATCCAAAGTTATCGTGCCCGTCGCAGTGCGGTGGTTTCTCTTCATCTGCGCGCTTCTGAGGGTATTCCTAATAGTAAAAATACAATCATTAATATCTTTAAATAAATATAAAACTCAGTTTTATGATTGAAAAAAAATTTAGAAGAGGATTGCTTAGAACTCTTAATGCAAGGCGATATCTAGTATATCTATTACTAGTGACCTACCCTTACTTCGCTTCAGTGTGGGCTATATAGGGAGCCTAATAAACTTATAAATGACGTGGCTTTCTATTGCTAAAGGAATTTTCAAAATCGGTTTTGTACATCCAGAGATTACCCTCTACAACATCATTATTCAAAAACTTTACCTCTTTATAAAATTAAGATTATTCTGTATTCGACTTTCATAATTATGCTATGCCTTTTGATCTTATGAAAAATTGTTGCTATACCTGTAACTAAAATGAAACTAGTGATATCTCTGACAAGTCTAAATACAGGCCACAATTTCCGAAAAGGTGTTTGACTGTTTGTTAGATCGTCAATTCAGGGGGCACCTTAAATAAGTAAATTACACGATGCTCAGTTTGGCTTTCACCCTGAGATTGTCATCCTATCGTTGAAACGAACAGTCGGATAATACACGGATAGAAGTAACCCTGTTCATGCAGCTATCTTAGACCTCTTGAGTACTTTTGACCTGGTTAATTACCATATTCTATGGCCTAAATTAATCTTGAAGTAATGGCGTTGCCTACTTGAAACAATTAGTTAAATCATTAATTAGCAAAATGAATAAGATTGGTGCGAAGTGTGATTCTTGAGGTAGGTACGCTAGATAGTACATATATGATGATTGTCAGAGGGATATTCATTCACGATGGCATGGAACTTTCTTATACCATAGGATTTTACCCAGTTCTATAGATACCCGGCTATTCCCAACGAACACACTTTTACTATTAACACATTGTGACAAACAGTGGCGAACGCTTATTTTTTTTTAAAAAAAGAGATATTTTATGACTTATTTTTTATTACAGTCTATTTCTGCATATTTTGTAGACATAAGTAATATGAATTATAACATTGCTTGGAAAATAAAACTTTGGAAAAAGATTCCAACTAAATAAACATACTTAAGGCAATTTTATCTATCTGCGTGCACCGTCTTTACGAAAACAAAAATTCCAAAAAAAATAAGTAAGTAAACATTTTCTCCTATTTGTAATAAATAATGTTCTTCGCTATCCGGGCGAATGCACTGACCATTATGCTACCACGGCCCTATTAGCCGCGTCGAAATTTTCCTAGCCTTAAGCTGCAAGGCAGCGTCATCTCTTCGCATTGTAGGTAACCAACAATGTTAAATGAATACTTTTTCAAGTATTAAACATTTGAAAGAAGAAATAGCAATTATAGTTATGATTTTATTTATTTTTTAAGCATTTAACTACTAGATGTTTAAATCTAAAGAAAAGTTTACTAGAAAAATATCCACGTGGACCAGGCAGCGGACGGGATGGTCCCGTCCGCTTTTCTTTAGATTTAAACATCTAGCAGTTAAATGCTTAAAAAATAAATAAAATCATAAATAATGTTGTCTGTGTAAGAAGAATTGGAACTTAACCGTCTATGTGGGGCATGCACATTTCGCTGCCAGTGTGTGTGTGTGTATCATGGACAATATGTATACAGACTACCCACCAAAATAATGTATGAGACCGAGGGAAGGTGAAAGATGAACCACCACCCATACATCCAGAGTGGATTACTTGGAAGTAATCCCGAAATTTTCACGCTAACAACCGAGAATCGTCGGTTTACAATGACTCTGTCAAACAAAGCATAACCTACCTTGAATTCAGTAGCCAGCTTTTTGGAAGACGGCACTAGGTGTCGAAAGGCAAAGAACGGTTAGAATCCGGTGTCCGTCCCCGGGGTTTTTTTCACTGTAGATATTCGTGGTAGCCTTGTCAATGTCTTACAGCGCGTTTCTTCAAAGAACGGAGACGATACGAGATCTTTTTGGAATCTCATTAGTACCTGCGCAGGATAGTGCAGCTCCCCGACCAGCAGCGACACCCAGCGCGGCGAGCTCAGGCAGCCCCCCTCCAGGTAGTGGCATCGCGACTGCATGCATCTGCACCGCAACATAATCTCATTACGTGGAGGAATGTCTCAGGTTCGAGTGGTCTAGAGGCTCCAGACGGAGAGGAGACTCCTCCCGTGGGGAATTGCCTTCGGCCTGGAATACCTCTAGAGCAGTGTTTCCTAACCTTTCCAATACTGCTACCCCTGTAACCTATTAGGAAAACAGATTTGACCCCGACTTTAAAATGTTATCATCAGTCCAAGAAATTCCAATTTGGCCGCTACACCTTCGCCTCTAATAATGTCATCATCAGGACGTAATCTCGCCCCGCTTCCCACACAGCACCCCGCGGGCTCGCTAGCAAAAAGGAGCGCATGCTCTATTTAGTAGTATTATTATATAGTATTTTCTTATTATTTAGATTTGACCCAATAATATGGTTCTTTGTTAACCCCGAAATATGGTCGATTTACCCCTGGAGGGGTAATTACCCCCAAGTTCGGAACCCAGGCTCTAGAGGTATTCTAATTAGGCTTTGGATAGAAGACTTTAACGCACTTAATATTCATTTAAGCAAACTTTATTGACACAGTATTCAAAATATATTAAGGTACAAATATTTTAATCTATAAAGTACTATTACAAACAAAACAAACTTCTTTCGAATTTTAGGTATATATATTAATTCCAATTAACAGTCTTTAAAACTTCTCATCAATCTTGTCTCGCATCTCTTCAATCCACATTAGCCAAACCATAATATAGCCACAGGACTATCAAGTGAGGAGCTCGATGGCGCAAGTGGTTAGCGCGTTCCGCTGGGATCGTTGAATTTAAGCAACTTTCGCAGTGGTCGGTCATTGGATGGGTGATCGAAAATTTACTATCTCGAGCTCCTTCGTGCTTCGGAAGGCACGTTAAGCCGTTGGTCCCGGCTGCATCTGCAGTCGTTAGCACCCACCAATCCGCACTGGGCCCGCGTGGTGGGTCATGGCCCAATCTCCCTATTCCATCTATAGGGAAGACCTGTGCCCCAGCAGTGGGGACATTAATAGGCTGATGACGATGACTATCAAGGTTCACTAAAAACACACTCGCACGTCTGGGATGGCTCCGCCAAGTATTTGCTCGATGCTTTGGATAGGTTACAGCGGCGCGTAATCCGCATTATAGGCGATGAGGAGGTGACTAAAAACCTGAAGCATCGTCAATTATGCCGTGACGTAGCATCACTAAGTGCGTTCTATCGTCTGTACCACGGCGAGTGTTCTGAGGAGTTATTCTCTCTTATTCCACCTTCCCCTTTCCTTCAGAGGACTGCACTGGCCTACGTTCCAACGCGTACAAAGAAATTTGGTGATTATTTCTTTGTTGCACTATCTGTAAATAGAATGCTCTGCCCGCTCCCTCCTTCTTACAATCCTCCTTCTCTCTTTATTAAATCCAGTATCCTTTAAAAGAGGCATGAAGAAGCAAAATGCAGGCCAGCAAGGTGAGGATGGCTGGTGTGGCAGTTAGAACTGCTGTACCATCTACCTTCACGTCTGGACTTCACCGTCACTTAACATCAGGTGGGGTGGAGTCATTTGTCGGACCTATAAATAAAAAAATAAAAAACCTAGCTGCAGTAACTGTAAGTAGATACAATAAGCCTCACCTGGTAACCTCGACGGTTTGCGTGAAGTATCCCTCGTAGGGTATCTGCACGACGTATCGCCACACGCCCTGGTAGTTGCGCGCGAACACCGGCGTCGCGTACTCCACGCGCGCCGGGCACGGGGTGGGCGGGCCCTGCGCGATGCAAACGCGCGTTTCAATCAAAAACTACCCTCATAACGTAACATTTCACGTTCAAATGTAAATGAGAACATCCTTTAGTCCCTCCTCAACGTTTATTTATTTAAACTTTATTACCACAATTACAAAAATGGACAAAAGGCGGACTTAACGCTAAAAGTATTCTCTGCCAGTCAACCTTTAGGCATATAAAGATTCACGAATGCGGCTATATTTAAAAAAAGTGATTAACTATGAACATACACCAATAAAAGTAACTACATAAATATTTATTTAAAAAAAAACCCTAAATATACATGCATAGAATACATTTAAATATGTATACAATATTTATAACGTTCCGGCCCCATTAGCATGATCACCGGGACATGATACATAGCTCCTTTTCATTACGCTCTATAATCAAATTACTATGAAGTTAGACAGTTAGGAGCGAAAAAAAACGTGATATAACGTAAATTATGGGCCCCACAATTTACGTTATATCACGTTTTTTTGCTACGGGGACAGGGATGAGTTTAAAAAGCAGTACATAGCAGCTGGAGCGCATAAGTAATGGAAATCGCAAATACGATATGTTGAACTCGTTCTTGCGTTAATTAAAAACCCAAAAAAGGATTTTTAATATCGTTGATCGCATGGCATTATTTTATCTGCCGTTCAATAATGGAAAAATGCGAAGTAGAATCATGAGCGTAGTCAAGCTCTTTGATCTCCTCCTGGCGTTGTCTTTGTTTTATTTTTTTAACAAAGACCAAGACAATTATTAAGTAATAGTTTTCATAGAAAAAGAAATGAGAATTGGCTGAGAGAGAGTATCTGAGTGTAAACTTATTGTAAAGTAAAATTGGGCAGATACGTGTAAGAGAAACGAAACAAGTGATTGTGCGGCCTAGTTTGTAGGGGTATTGGTTGCGCCATCACTTTCTTCCTTTCTGAAGTAAAGAGTTGCCAAATTCATACGATGGTCGCTTAATCGTTCTAAGCGTACGGCAAAATATAATACCTCGGCCAACTTCTTGAGCTAAATCTTGGACAACCGAATCTGCGCATTAGTAATTTTATATATATTTATTTGTATATTCGCTACTTACCTAATATTTTATTTCTTTTAATTGAAGTAATAGAAGATATTGTAGTGTACCTCGTATCGGTGAGGCGCGGGGCGCGGGCCGGGGTCCTCGCGGCGCTCAAGCGGCGCGGGCGCGCCCTCGCTCTCCCCGTTGATGGCGCGGTACAGCATGCAGAAACTAATAAAACAACAACGGTACGTTTTAATGTGGTACAGAGAAAACTCAATGAAGCTATATCGGTTTGTAGGAATTTTACCCTTTCAAAAAAATAAAATAAAATTTTAATAATATAGATATGGTACGTTTTTTAGGGAGTCCTCGTAAATCAACTGTGAGTGTAAATATGTAAAAAATTGATGTTTTTTTGTTGTACCTAAAGAGCCGTGGATAACGTTAGAATCCTTTTTACCCATAGCTCTTAGGCTCTTACCCAGACGCGAGGAATGAGTAACCCATTTCCCTAATATAAAAGAGGTTCTTAAATCACGTGATCTATCACGTGCTCTAGCTAGTGGTAATTGTAATTAAAAGAAAAATAAATTACCGAAAATAAAGCTGTATGATATTAGAAATATTTGACTTCGATTGTATGAAAATTAAAACAACCAGAAACTGTCAGTGTCAAAATCGTGAATTTGCTTTTGACTTATTCAATCAAACACACATTTCGCGATTTAGGTTATGAAATTATAACTAAAATATTAATTAAATGTCTCCTATTCGACGCAGCAAACCATGTCATCTGCCTTAGTCCGCCAGGCTCTTGAATTCGTCGATCCAGAGGGTAAGAGTTGTGCACTTTATTCAAGTAACAACAGAACACTCAGTTGTGGTTCTCATTCCTCAAGATTAATTGGACCGTGTTATTATTGTTTTGATTCAGAGAGTGGCAGCAAACGAACGAAACGTCGTAAAGGACAGTCGGCTCGTCCAGGGGCACCGGGTCAAGGTGTGTATTATGTCATACTAACTAAAATTTACGAACTTCAATTGTAGATGTAATTTTAACCTCACTAGTGACGTTAGTTAAATAACAATTGCCTCAATGAATTGTATGCCCGGCTTAATTTAATAGTGGTTGCCTCTGTGAACCATATCTCTGCAAATATTCATAAAGGTTATCTGATTTAGAGCAGAGCAGTATTGTTTCAAGAAGAGAGAGCAAAATAAGATAACAGTGTTTTATTATAGTGCAGTTATGACTCAGTGCAGATTTCAAGTTCAATATTTCACTTTTAGATAACAGAGAACCTTACAAACGCAACAAGAAACCGCCACAGAAAGATAATAGTACAGATAAAGTGGAAGAAAACATTAAAAAGCTCCTAGCTCTGTCTACACCTTCTATTGACAAAAAAGTTGCAGGAAAGGTATGAAAAAATTGTTTCCTACAAATGAAATTGAAATGAAATTTATTTATTCACAAAACAGAGTAGATACATGTTAGTGGTTATTTTGATTTAGTTTGTCTATTCGGTGTTCGGCTGCAATCGTTAAAGTTAGGCTACTTTCGTAGTGTTCAGGCATTGGATGAGTAACCAAAAAATTACAATCTTGAGCTCTTCCATGCGTCGGAAGGCTTAAGACGTTAATCCCTGCTTCATTTGCAGTCTTTAGCACCCAATCTGCACTGGGCCCGTGTGGTGGATCATGGCCCAGTCTCCCTATTCCATCCATAGGGAAGGCCTGTGGCCCAGCAGTGGGGACAGTAATAGGCTGATGATGATGAGGGCATGAATGTCAACTTAATTGTAAAATTTATATGTTCTTATGTAATTTTATTTATTCTATTCACATTCACAAAACATTTTGTTATTAGCCACAGTTTAAGCTTTCTTTCAAATATGGGTAAATTAAACTCCGTTATCAAGTGTATTAAGTTATTATACATTTTTATTTAAGAGGTATAGCAGTTTTTGTTGGAATATTGAGTATGGATATTATACACTTTAAATTGTCTCTATTATCATGTGAATTGTGTATAATATATAATAATCATGTACCTATTATTTACTTAATTTACTCATATGGTAAAATTTTTAAAGAACTCAACTAACAATTTAATATTGACAGCATACCACATTATATGTAATAGTAAGAGTGATATAATTCCATTATGTACTTTATGGTCATGACTATACTACTAGTTTTCTTATCATTATTTATTGTGCAATATAAACTAAGCAGTTTCCTTGTGTTATTTTCTTTAAGTGGTTATGTCTATTTTATAGTGCTTGTAAATGATAGTTTATTAAAGCAATGAAGTAGACATATAAAAAAACTGACATTATTATCATATTGTTTAATCAGCAAAACCCAAAAAGTATGGAGTGGTATTTGTTTCTCAGGTATTCACACACACCACTCATTAAATAAACCAAAGCTTCAACGGTTCCTTTTCAGGCTGCGTCATCAGAATTACGATGACTTTTCAGCCTGGAAAGTATCAAAAAACAAATAAATTAACGCATTTAAACAATTGAAGCTGTTTTATTTAATAAGTATGGACTGGTGTTACAAATGTAAACAAAAGTACTTGCCCTTCCAATAAACTTAATGTTAAAAATGTTCTATATAAACTTTCATTTCTCTCAAATTCAATCCGAAAAACACTTGTGTCATTGCCAAAAAAGACTATACTTATCAGTAATTGTTACTTGAATATTATGTTTGAATTAGGTCTTTCATTCATTGATCCTATTCTATGTCATATTGAATTTCAGTTTTTCTGCACTAGTATATTTTTTTATCAATTTCTTCCAGGTATTAGAGAGAGCAATCAAGGGCAAGCCTCTCGTAGAAAAAATTAAAGTCAAGGAAGACGACGGAAAATCCATTTTATTCCCCGACTAAAACAACTCTAGAACTAAATTAAATTAATGTAGCACTTAATTATACTATAATATTATAGTTGAGAACGCCTTAATGTGTATGCATTTATGGACATTCCCGATGCTGTGTTAGGGAAATTGATTCTGGGGTCAACGGTTACAGTATTTACTGTACTTATAGTTTGGATTAACACATACCCTTTTATTGATAAAGGTTAGTCTGTATGTTTTCAATACATTTTTAAATAGTAATATTTAGTTTATAACTCTATATTTACCGATGTGTATATAAAACTGAATGGATTCATTTAAAATAAGTACAACTACAAGCGATCAGTTGTCTCATCAGTAAGTGTAATTAAAGGTAAAATATAATTGAAATGAAATAAGGCAATGGTTTTTTGAGCACAAATATAATTGAAAGTGAATGTAAATGTAACACACAGTCTGAGTAGTTTGCTATCTCCCTTACACTTGACTTTTTGTTAGTTTATAAATTCTATCCTATTTAAGTAATATATTATTAAAATAATAAATATTATAACTATAATTGCTATTTCTTCTTTCAAATGTTTAATACTTGTAAAAGTATTCATTTGACATTGTTGGTTACCTATAATGCGAAGAGATGGAGCTGCCTTGCAGCTTAAGAATGGCTAGAAGAATTTCGACGCGGTCCGTGAGGGCCGCGGTAGCATAATTGGTCAGTGGGTGCGGAGGGTGCGGGTTCGAGTCCCGTCTGCTGCCTGGTCCGCGTGGAATTTCTTCTAGTTATATTTTCTTTGATTTAAACATCAAGCAGTTACATGCTTTAAAAAAAATAAAAATTATAAATTTAATATTAGTTGGTAAAAGCTATAGTATAATCTTTCTAAGTACCAAATTTCAATTCAAATAAACTTTATTATAATGCTTTTTATAGTAAAATGACCTTTACATAAACTCTTCTGTTTCAGATCTCGAAATATTTAGTCGTATTCCAAACCCACAGTGGTTCTTGCTGTTCTGCGCCATTTGGGGTTTCTTCTTCATCGGGGGTCTAATGTGCTTCACTTATTACCACATTAGACCATATTTGTGACTCAAAGAGTTTCAAACAAAAATGTCGCACAAAAACGACTGGGTCATTATTGGTATATCAGGAGTCACTTGTGGCGGAAAGACTACTTTAGCCAATAAATTAACCGAAACGCTTACTCCTGTGTATGTGTTCCATCAAGATAAATATTTTTACCCGGATGATAGCCCGAAACATGTACGGTGTGATGGTTTAGATCATAATAACTATGATATTTTGTCTTCGTTGGATATGGATAGTATGTATAAAGACATAATTGAGACCTTAAAAGGAGATGTAAAAGCTCATCGCTCGAACGTTGAGCGAAGGCCGGGCCAGATTGAGATTAAAGGGAAAAAGCTGCTAATTATTGAAGGATTCACTGTTCTTAATTTCAAACCTATTACGGATCTGTGCGATTTTAGGTAAGAATTGATTACTTAGAACTTAGGTGAAGTTTTGATTTAATGAATTATACAACGATATTAAATACCCTAGATACACCACGAGCGCTCAAAATGTGTCCCAATCAAGAAGTGCTTGAACTCCATTCAAGCACTTCTTGGTTCACAGTCACGCGCGGACCGTTACAAAGTCAAGATACCACAGAGCTCCGCGAAAAAATGCGAAAATAATACTTAGAGTACGAAAAGTGTCGTTTTTTCGATAGGTATCTAGTCAATGTTTGTTAATTTAACGCAAATTTTGATCTAATACTTACTATAAACTGATTGATTAAAAAATATTTGTGATATTCAAATGCATGGTCGGCTATACGTCACCATATAGCCGTCTCTTTTCCTCGCGGTCCATGCCTGCTATATTGCTAACAGCGCGTTCAGAATTGCGCGTAGAGTCAAAGAACTAAGGTCTAAATTCTTCCGCATATAGCAATAAGTCGTAAAATTTTACGAGCTTGCATTTCGAACTGTCAGAAGTCCTTGACGCATGCTTTTTATTTAAGACCTTATACAGTATGTATTAAAGGTTACTTACAATATTTAAATTATGCCTTATATTGATTTTGACTACGCGATCATCTTACGGAGCTCCGTGGATCGTTCAATGTACCTTTTGGACAGGTTTCGGGCACGATTTTGTTCGTGTTGGTGTATCTAGGCTATTTAATATCGTTGGAATTATAGTATTCATTTAAATTCAGAATGCATTTAGGCCATTGGTCGTTATTGAATCTGCAAAATTAGGTACCTTCTAATGCTCAGGGGATTAAAAACCTTTATTGATGATTTCCGTAATAACATTCATAGATAAGAGTACAAGCATAAACATAGTTAAATTTTTGTATAGTTAAAATACTAAATAAAAATAAACTTTTACCAAAATTTACACATTTTCTATATATTTGATGTGACATTAATTTAAGTCAAATTTTACCATGTTTCAAACAAAGCGACCATCATCAGGAGCTCAGTTATCTTAATTTATAATTATCATGTTAATATTTTAAAAGCTATCTGTTTTGTCCTATACATAGAAATAAAAGTGGAGTCTTTTGTCGGACCTATCTATAAAAAAAAATGATTTGATATTTAGACATTGATTTTATTTCAATGAAGTAGTTAATTAGGTGCATAGAAAAGAATAGGGGTGATGACGGGGTACAGTAAACGAAATTTTATTTAGTCCGTCAGTTAGATGATCAAAAAATAATGGAAACGTATTTTTTCTTTGGACAATTAACCAAAAAATTATAAAGTTATAGCGCGACAAAGTTTGGGAGTAGGGGCTCGTGACGTCACTTTTTAGTGAATTTTCACTTAAAAGTGTACTCAAACGTGGCGCCATGCTTTTCAAATCAATATATCTCTGCAATGTTTATATTATGTGAAAAAAGAAAAAATACGCGTCTAATACTTTTTGACAATCTATCTGATAAACGATGAAAAAAAATTAGTCATCATCCCTATTGTCGACGGCCGATTTCCGTGGCCCAGTTGTTTGTTTGCCGGGTTTCAAGGTTTCTAACACTCACACCAATTAGCCTAGCCCCAAAGTAAGCACTAGGCTTGTGTTATTGGATGCTAGGGTAACGGATAGAATACGTATAATGATACATATATAAGTATGTTTATATAGAAATACATATTAAACTTCCATGACTGGAGCACAAATGCTCGTATTCATCACACAAACATGACTCCACCGGGATTCAAACCCTCATAAAAAACCCGGTATTCAAAACTCTGCCACGGAGGTCGTCAATTTAGTCAATAAAACGATTCTGTCTCTCAAACGCATTTTAAACCCGTTAAAAAAAACGAGCGAGCCTTCCAGTAGTTGCGTATGATGTGTAACATTTGAAACCTCACCTTATATTAGTAAAAAAAGAAATAGAACCTACTTCAAAAGAAATAAGCCATTTGAACATTATGTTCTAAAACAAATCAAATAGCGCGCGCTTCCCAAACTTCCTGTTACACACTTCCGTCCCACTTCACGTAATCACTCGCACAAATTGCATGAAAGCGAGAGGAAAGATGTTACACATCAAAAACTTGATTCCTTTGATGGGAGTCGTGTGAGGCGGGTCGTTACGTTCCCTAAAATATGGTTGAGCGAAGCGATGGCTGGTTCATGCGTCATGCTCGTGAACGGGTGCTGCCAGCGGAGATGAGTCTGCCCTAACTTTGATATTTAAGATGTAAACGTTTAATTACACCTATTATAAATAACTCTGTTTGTATTTATACTGTGTGACACAGCAATCAAAATGCAGGTGAACAATTAATGTATAATTTCACATTATGTAATGAAAGGTGACTTCATGAATCATCTCTGAAGCCATCTATCAACTTGACGACTCTGTAAATGATAAAACAGGGAGAAAAAAACAGCCCTTGTTGAGTTTCTTGTCGGTTCTTCTCAGTACAAGGTCTCCCGCCGTAGATTTACGAACCGATAGCGTAGCTTCGAGACATTCATATGTGCTTGTAACAGCCTAAACTGAATAAATGATTTTGATTATGATTATAATTATCTCGCAGGTACTACTTCATATTGGAGTACGGCGAATGTGCGGGGCGTCGCTCGTATCGATTATACGATCCGCCCGATGTGGCCGGATACTTCGATCTGTGTGTGTGGCCAGAGCATCTGAGATACAGGGCTGATGTATGGAATCATATTTTTAAATTTGCCTTAACACCCAACGATATTAAATATCCTAGCGCTCAAAATGTGCCCCAATCAAGAAGTGCTTGAACTCCACTCAAGCACTTCTTGGTTCACAGTCACGCGGGGACCGTTGAAAAGTCAACATGCTGCAGAGCTCCTAGAAAAAATGCGAACAAATACTTGTAGTATGGAAAGTGTCGTTTTTTCGACAGGGGGCCGTTCAAGTATTACGTAAGCAGATTTATGACAATTATTTACCCCTCCTCCCCCTTGTCAGCAAAAGTAAGCAAAGCTCTTGAACTTTTTTCGAATTTTTGGTATACATATTAATTGCAATTCTTTAGTCCATGACACGCGAATCTATGATGCTGACGTAATCACTATTTCGACCCCCCCCCCCCCCCCCCACGCCCCCATGTCATCAAAAATAAGCAAAGCAAAGACCCCCCTGCCCCCTTATAGCGCTTACGTAATACTTGAACGTCTCCCAGGTATCTAATCAATTAATTTAACGCATTTGAAACAAATTTTGTTCTAATACTTCCTAAAAACTGATTTTATAGAAAATATTTGTGATATGCAAATGAATGGTCGGTTATATAGTCGTCTCTTTTCCTCGCGGTCCGGATCTGCTATATTGCTAACAGCGCATTCAGAATTACGCGTAGAGTCAAATAAATAAGGTCTATATTCTTCCGTATACCTGTAGCAATAAGTCGTAAAATTTTTGAGCTTGCATTTCGAACTGTCATAACTCTTTGACGCATGCGTTTTAATTAAGACCTTATACAGTATGCGTTAAAGGCGACTTTTAATGTTTCAATAACGCCTTATATTGTTTTCGACTACGCGATCATCTTACGGAGTTCCGTGGATCGTCCAATGTACCTTTTGGACAGGTTTCGGCCACGGTTTTGTTCGTGCTGTTGTATCTAGGGTATTCAATATCGTTGTATACACCGTGAATTTTCGCTGTACCCGGGAAACTTAAAAATCATGTAAACAAAATAAATAATATAAATAATAAATGTAACTGAGTATGCTTGTACAGTTTCTTAACTCAAAATTTACGGTGTATAAGGGAAACTATACTAATTGGCCGTCTTGCATTTATACTAATATCTATGGCAAATTATATATAAAATACTGAACACGATATCTTCTTATTATTCTTTGATGGCAATTGTTTTTTTAAAAAGAATGAGAATAAAATTGGTGTGGTTTTGTGTAACAACTGTCTGCGTAACTGAAGAATTAGTGGAATCATTAAAATATACGCTATTCCGGTCAAGTGGACGTGAGAATTTTATTGTAGTGTTGACTACCTCACAGACGCTTATCGAAAAAGCCAACTCGATACATTTCGTGCCAAACACTCCAAGAAACATTAGAATGCGTCACACCGACATTCTAATGTAAAAACAAAAAGAAGATTAATTTAATTAAAGACCAGGCTGTATGGGCATTGTTCCCTTTGCCTTCCCTAAAACGGGAGAACGTCAACAAAAAAAAACAAAGCTTTACTGTCTGTCACCGATTCGCACGTGTTACCAAAATGCAGCCATTCAGGGATAAATGTTTTTAAATACGTATTGTTTGAAGTTTACTAATGTTACATTTAATCGACTTCGATTTATGCAGAGTTTCGCCTAAAATATCACAAAACACCGAAGTTTAGTTAAATGCCGGTATCTATTGTTTTAATAAATAAAGATATAGTGATACTTTTTATCCGTAAAAACGTTAGATACAAAAACATTTTTTTTTTTCATTATGCGAACGAATTCATGTGGGGAAGCTACTAATATTATAATTGCGAAAGTCTGTCTGTCTATTACCTCTTCATGCTTAAATTGCAGAACTGATTGAGATGATGATTGGGATAGAAAAAGTTTGAGCCCCGTGAATAGACTTATAATAGTTTTTGTCTCGGAAATCTGTGAGGCGGTAAAATGAAGCTGCCGGCATCCTCTAATTATGAATAACTACATTCTATCTAATATTACGACAAAAGAATTGAAGTTAGGGGATTCTGGACTCTTTGGTTTATATTTTTTATTATTTCACCATGAAAGTGTTTCTTTAACTATAAAAATAAGTATTTATAACTATGATTTTATTTATTTTTTAAGCATTTAACTGCTAGATGTTTAAATCTAAAGAAAAGTTTACTAGAAAAAAATCCACGCGGACCAGGCAGCGGACGGGACTCGGAAAATTTCGACGCGGCTAATAGGGCCGTGGTAGCATAATGGTCAGTGCATTCGCCCGGATAGCGAAGGATGCGGGTTCGAGCCCCGTCCGCTGCCTGGTCCGCGTGGATTTTTTTTCTAGTAAACTTTACTTATAACTATTTATATTACAGATAGAGAAAGACGGCCGCGTAATGTTATTGGACGGCACTCAACACGACGCTCTAGATGTCGTATTGGCAGATTTATACAGAGCCGGCGCCACCAAAGTATAATTACACTACACTGTTAATTCACAAATACGGAACAAATACATTATACTGCACTACAAATACACTATGTTACACTACAAATACTCTATATTACACTATAAATACACGCTAGCTATGGTCGAAAAATAGAAAAGGGTGAAAATGAATAGATACATAAAATATTAAAATAACTGTAATACCTTTAATGTAGCCTACTACTGCCTTCATTGTACAAATAAATAATCTGATTCTGATTCTGAAACAGTAAGATACATACTACATTGACTTGTTAGGGTTTCGGACCTCAAAGGGCAGATACGGAACTCTCATGGAATCACTCGGTTCTCTGTATGTTAGTCGATTTGCTCGGAACACTTGGGGAATTTTGTGGAAAAATAAAAATGAAATTTTGCTATCCATACTGTGTTATATATCAAAAGGGCTCAAAGTAAAGGTTTCAAATATACGCTCTGACTGCATTTTTTTACTCTGACGTCTCATGACATTAAATGTGTGAAACTTTTGTCAAATTTGACATTTGTTGCACCTGGAGCGAAGGTTTGGAACGCAGCTCGAGTCTATTGGAATTTGTCAGTATTTTTCTTGTGACTTTGACAGCTGTCAATTTTTTGTTACGGGCCTTTCGCCTCGGGATAAATTGGCATTTATTGTATAAAACGCTTATCAACGAAAAGCTGTAGTTTTATCTAACTAAATTATTGTCCAAACTTGATAGCAGTCTCTCCTTTTCGTTCTATATAGAGGTCGATAAAGATAGGTATAGGCTTACACCCATATTCTTAGTCGCGTCCTCAAATGTTCCTCGACTCTAACTCATTCGAGGGCTCCTTAAGGAGTTCCTCCAAATAACCTCGAAAATTATATTCTAGTAGGTATCTTGAACAAACTTGAGAATTCCTCCACTGAGAGTACAAACAAAGGTATAAAGCATAAAATCATAGACATATTATATGTGTAAAGTAAAATATCACACAACAAACATAGGTAAATACATAAGAATATGGGTATTAGAGAATCAAGGCAGAATCTGGTATGGAATGTGTGCATCTCGGTAATTTATTATAATGTTTTGATATTAAAATCCTAATTTAACGCACAAAGGAAAACAAATTAAAGTCGTTACTTTAAATAAGTGAAGAGTTGTGCTTTGTAAGTACCTATACATACATATACACAGATATTATTTGTAAGTTAAAGGTTTTCATAGTTTATTAGTAGATTTGAAAATTGTAATAAAGGTACAGTTCCAATAATAACTTGACTTTACAAATTCTCAATTACTGAAAACCTGATTTGTTGACTGTATTCTGTACAGCGAAATATTAAATTGGATCGAATAAATATGAATGTTTTTAATTAATGAAGTTTGTTATAAAAATGCTTTAACTTGCAAACATTTAGGCATATTTGTTATCCCATTGTGTTCATGGCTGATATAATAACAAGACTTCCTATCATACAGTCAGAAGGAAGGTTTTCTGAAATGTCGGGCGCCAGGTGGCAGCACTAAGACGAAAAGTCTACTCAGCCGCCATTATGTCATCGTATATTATGTCTTCATAGTCTATGGATCAATAAAGTGCTCGTTCGATTAATTCGCGCCAAAAATTCCAACGCCAACTAGTGTCGTAAATTTTCATAAACACCAACTAGTTTGTTAATTTTGATGGTCAAAATTTGACTATAAGTATTACATACTTTTAATATATTACTTTGATTATATGCCTAGATAGAGCAATCCAAAGAAAAAACGCAAAAAATCATGTGAATGTCAGATTGTGTGATACAGTCCATGCCATGATGTCGATTGTGGCATGATTCTCTAAAATTAACATTAGTCTCTCCTTTTCATTCTGTATAGGAAATGACAAGGATACACTGTTGTCAAATTTAAGTTTAAGTTTAGAGAATGATGCCAGAATCGACACCAATGTGTGCGTGTGTAGCGACAAGTATATCTACCATAATAGCAGATATTGTTTGTGCCGCCTACGTACAATTAATACGGTATCTAGGTGAATTTAATTAAAAGTTACATACCTAATTATGGTATCATTATGTATGATACTTTCAATTACATTGTGAACGAAAATCTCAACATTTCACTTTAATTTTCTCGAGTTGTTAGACTTCTTTCGCTGAAGTTTAAATACCTACATAATAGAATTTTAAGAACTTCCAAAAAAAAAAGTTTTGTGTGTTGGTCATAACTAACGAATTGGAAATGCTATGGAATACAAACTGCGCTAAAAAGTGGGTCCACAGTTCCACACAAACTACGATCAAGTGGGCGGATAGTAAGTATTATACGCGATTTCCGTTTAAAATAATTTTACCCAATGAATGGATAGCCGAATTCATTTGCAGATATTTGATTTGTCAGATTATTTTGTTTCATATTGTTTTTGTAGGTGTGCGTGTCGCGTTAGTATTATAGTAAACTATAATCTAATAATAACGCGATCTAACTAAAGTTAGATGAGTTTAGCGGCATTTGTTAAAGAGTAATGCTTCTATATCATTTCTAATTCGTTGGTCATAACATAAGGCACTTTGTGTGGTTTTATAGTAGCCGTTGTAGCTAGGAGAAATTCAATAGTGTTTAAATATATATTAGAACTAATTTGTTTATATATTTTTATATAATGCTAAATTTTCAAGGTGGTTAATGTACAGTCAATGTCACAAATAGTTCTTCTAAACTATTATTTTTAATATTTGAGATTGTTAGAACTACTAGAACATACTTTCGTTTATAGATTATGGCAGTCTCTTAACAAACGTTTATTTCCCACAATTTTTGCATAAAAAATGTGATATTTTGATCGATTGATTCGTAAAGAAATGGTATAAACTTATGTTAAATGAACTGTAAAACGATGCTTATGATGTATATAATACATTAACTTTAATGTGTTTATCATTTAAGTTTTTAAATGCATTTAAAAAGTAGGGTTTTTATAACTTTTTGATAACGATCTTACGTTATTTATTGATTGTTATGGACTCCATAAAAATCCTTGGCTTTTTCGATCACGTGATTATAGATAAAAAACTATTGTCTTTTTCGTGAGTTTTTATTATAATTATGAATGTTTTTTCTTTAAAAATAGTAAAAACCCCTGTCAATATTCATTCTTAATACATTTTATTTTAAATACTGTCAAATACCCTATAGTTGACCCATTTGTGTTGTTGACTGTACTGAATATATCATTTTAAGCATCGATACAATGTTTATTTTGTATAATAAAGCATTTAATTACTTATAATTTTTTATTTCTTTCTTTGCAAGACGATTATATACAGGGTGTCCCAAAAAGTAGTGTCAAGCGGTAGTCCCGAGATAGAACACCCCTTGGGGAATCCGAAACACCCCCATGTATGTTCTGCGATTTTTTATAGTTTGCGAGTTATGATTTTTTTTACTAAAATTTTGAGAATTAAAGACCTAAACAACTTAAAAATTTAATAAAAAAAATTGGATAAGTCTTTTCCGAGATATTTTTTTTGCAACTCAATTTACACGAATTGTACTTAAATGACTAATACCTTTGTCTTTGTAACTATGATGGAAGTTTAAAAAATGATGGTGCAAAGTGAAAAAATTATGGTCAGTGAATTATGTCTTAAGATTTCAACTTTAAATTTAAAATCTTAATAGGTAGTTTCATGGCTCCTAAGTAAGTTTAAAAACTGCGCCAGACTCTCAGCTTTCATAATAATTTAAAAAAAGTAGTACTTAAAGGGCTACTTTTGCTAACATCGGACTTCAAAGACAGTGAGGTGGAAAAATCTTAAAATTAGCGATTTGGTATCGAAGTTTTTTTTGGCATTTTATCATTCCTAAAGTTAATTAGATTGTTAACTAATCGAAAACGGTTGCAAAAAAGCTAAGATCCTACTATTTTTAAGTTTAATTTAAAGTTTAAAAGAATATTTTTTGAACTCGCTGTATTGTGTGATACCTAAAAATTAAATTTAGTTACAAAAATAAAATCTTTAAAAAGAAAAGCTAAATGAAACAAAAAGTAACTGCTATTTATTATTTATTACAAAAAGTTTTCAAAATGTCTCCCTTCCTGCTCAATACATATTCTGCACCTTCTAAAAAAGTTTTCTTTTAGCTGAATTAACGCTATTCTGTTATTTTTTATTGTTTCTTCTGCGTGTCGCAATTTCGTTCGTAATTCTTGAATATTTCTTATGTCTTTAGCGTAGACCAATTTCCACCGCCATTTTGTACTTGCTCCCTGTACAACCTGGCAGCTTCAGAAGCGTTTCCTCTTGCATAACCATAATAGTAATGCATGAGAGCATAATCTCTTGACGAAAAAGACATAGCTCACTAAATTAATGTGCTCGAAAAGTCCGTTGAGAAAGCCAAAGTCGTCGAATTCCGTATCACAAAACCAAATCATTTTTCCACCTCACTGTCTTTGAAGTCCGATTTTAGCAAAAGTAGCATTTTAAGTACTACTTTTTTTAAATTATTATGAAAGCTGAGAGTCTGGCGCAGTTTTTAAACTTACTTAGGAGCCATGAAACTACCTATTAAGATTTTAAATTTAAAGTTGAAATCTTAAGACATAATTCACTGACCATATTTTTTTCATTTTGCACCATCATTTTTTAATCTTCCATCATAGTTACAAAGACAAAGGTATTAGTCATTTAAGTACAATTCATGTAAATTCAGTTGCAAAAAAAATATCTCGGAAAAGACATCCAATTTTTTTTATTAAATTTTTAAGTTGTTTGGGTCATTAATTCTCAACATTTTAGTAAAAAATTCATAACTCGTAAACTATAAAAAATCGCGGAACATACATGGGGGTGTTTCGGATTCCCCAAGGGGTGTTCTATCTCGGGACTACCGCTTGACACTACTTTTTGGGATACTCTGTATAACCGTAAAGTAAGGGAAGCAATTTTTTTACATAATTGTTAATATCGTTTGGTATAGGACTGATCGAGGAGCTTGATGGCAAAGGTGGTTAGCGCGTTCGGCTGCGATCGTTGAAGTTAAGCAACTTTCGCAGTGGTCGGTCAGTGGATGGGTGACAAAAAATTTACTATCTCGAGCTCCTCCGTGCTTCGGAAGGCACGTTACGCCGTTGGTCCCGGCTGCATCTGCAGTCGTTAGCACCCACCAATCCGCACTGGGCCCGCGTGGTGGGTCATGGCCCAATCTCCCTATTCCATTTATAGGAAAGGCCTGTGCCCCAGCAGTGGGGACATTAATAGGTTGATGATGATGATGATGGTATAGGAATTGCTAACCAGCATTAAATATCAGTCAGAATGTCGGGCGCCAGGTGGCAGCACTGAGACGAAAGGTTACTCATCCGTCAAATCGCGTGTCGTCATAGTCTATATAATTTGAATGCTCGTTCGATTAGTTCGCGCCAAAAAGTTCATACAAAAGATCAGACGTCACAGTGGCGCCGACTGGTGACGTAAATTTTTATATTTTTTTAACGCTTTCGAAGGCGGATGTGCGGACCGGCGCGGCCACCTGATCCATCCATCCAGTATCCCATAGTACAAGTTTTATATTGGAGTCGATTCTGGCATGTTTCTATAAACCTAAACTTGACAACTGTGTAGGTATCCTTCTCATTTTATATAGGTTGAGAGATGATGTTAAATTTAGTTTAAAGTTTAGAGAATCATGTCAGAATCGACACCATGTTTTACGTTGGAGCTAGGCTAATTGATATGAGTGTGTGACATATTATTCTTATGAGGTAGATGACTTAATATGCGGATCCAAGACGAAGCATACTAGATAAGTGTGTAAATTTATTCTCTATTGTTGGACAATTCATTATTGATAATTTATCTTAGATTAAAACAAAAAGGGAAGATACAGTGCTCATACTAACATCAAATGAAATATGTTCCGACTCAACTACAAAAGCTACTCATATGCACGCGCTCTTCTGTAAATAATCAATCGAGCGAGCGAGCGCGAGCACAAAACAATGAATGAATATACGCAGTATTGTTATATTGAGTGCACATGCAGCGTGTTCGAATGTCCATTGTGACTAAAGCGAATTGTGGTCATGCACCACAATTGAAGCGGATCAGTTTTGAGCCGCGAGTGCCGTATCATAAGTTATACTCACACGCCGCCTCCGTCGCAGAACTTCCTCCCGTCGCGCGCGCCGCGAGCCGACTGCGCCCCGCGATGCTCCGCGCGGAGCTGCTGCGACTCCGTCTCCGCGGAGGCCGACCGTTTGCTGCGCTCCTCTAATCTACGGCGCAAAAGAGAGAGGCGGGTCATGTATTCAGACCATAATACCGGCCATACACACTACGAGAAATCGTTACGATTAGACTGTACAGTCCGAACGGTACCGATAAATCGTAGCGTGTATGTTATAAAACTGCACAGTTTCCTATACCACGGTAATAATATCATATATTACCGTGCCTTTACTAAACGAAATCGTATAAACTGTTCCGTTCGAACTGTACAGTCTGATCGTAACGATTTCTCGTAGTGTGTATGGCCGGTATAACACTGACACACTGAGGAAAAGTATAGAAAGATATCATGCCCTTCCGACAATCCAACATGATAGAAAGAGACTCACCATGATGGTCTTTGATCTAATAAAGTAAGAGCCGACGGCGGCGTGTCAAGCCGAACTATGATAAAGTTTGTTAAAAAAATCTATGAAACTAGGAAAACAATTGAGCTTATACAATTCAGTTCGTGTTATGATATCCTGTCTTTTAAACATATCTTGACAAAACGACACAATCACTACACTCATGCAGGAAGTCGGGTACCCAGGAACAGAACTGGGCTGGCAGACCATATGCCGGAAGCTTGGAGACAAGGCTTTTGTGCCAGACCCTGTCAAACGCCTTGGCAATGTAAAGGTCGATAGCCAACGACTTGCCACGCTTGTCGATAGGTGAAGCTAGCCCAGATATGAGTCAAGTACGCTAGAAGATCACCCGTCGATCGTTTCGATCTAAAACATACTGTCGATCATTAATCAGAAAATCATCCTCTAGGTAGCGGGTCAGATGGTTGTTAAGGACCTTTTCTAGGACTACTTATTACTGAGGTGACTGCTATTGGCCGGTAGTTGACCAAGTCTGAGCGATTCCCTGTTTTGGGCACCAGATGCATGTTGGCATCTCTCCAAGTCTCCGTCCCACATCCCAAAGAATATGAGCTGTAGTAAAAGCGCTTGAGCACGACTTTTGATTCTCTAGTACAACTGCTGGGATGCCATCAAGTCCACTAGCTTTCCAAACGTCGAATGATTGCAATGCGGCGCAAACCTCACGCTGCCTGATTTTAATAACAGGCATCGTTATGCTACAATGAGTTAATTATGGTGGCAGTGTATTATGTGACACAGTCAGCCATCACAGCTACAGTGATAAATTTTCTTAATCGTTAGTGATATTTACAGAGCGGAATAAAATTCGTGGAATAGTTTGATAGTTTTAGATGACTTGACCTAAAGCTGTCTGACTTTAACATAACAAATATTAGGTAGAAGTTGAAATTGGAAGTATACAATATGTCCGAAATAATATCGCTCGTTCCAACCAGCGTTGAAAACACGTCAATTCCTGTCATTAGGTCTTTTAAACGCGCATGACTCTCTAAAAACAGACACTTTGACTCTTTTAATAGGTACATCATTTGACGATATTGCTCGATTTCCAATTATGTTATTAAAGTTACCCGTCGTATCGTGTGTTGTGGTATGTAGTGTGTGTAGCAGTAGCAGTTACCCGTTGTGCTGTATGTATCCGGGGTCGGGGCGGGCGGGTGACGCGGGGGGAGTGGTGTCGTCTGTAGTGTCATGTAGTGTGTGTGCAGTTACCCGTTGTGCTGTATGTATCCGGGGTCGGGGCGGGCTGGTGACGCGGGGGGAGTGGTGTCGTGTGTAGTGTCATGTAGTGTGTGTGCAGTTACCCGTTGTGCTGTATGTATCCGGGGTCGGGGCGGGCGGGTGACGCGGGAGGGAGTGATGTCGTCTGTAGTGTCATGTAGTGTGTGTGCAGTTACCCGTTGTGCTGTATGTATCCGGGGTCGGGGCGGGCGGGTGACGCGGGAGGGAGTGGTGTCTTGTGTAGTGTCATGTAGTGTGTGTGCAGTTACCCGTTGTGCTGTATGTATCCGGGGTCGGGGCGGGCGGGTGACGCGGGAGGGAGTGGTGTCTTGTGTAGTGTCATGTAGTGTGTGTGCAGTTACCCGTTGTGCTGTATGTATCCGGGGTCGGGGCGGGCGGGTGACGCGGGAGGAGTGGTGTCGTGTGTAGTGTCATGTAGTGTGTGTGCAGTTACCCGTTGTGCTGTATGTATCCGGGGTCGGGGCGGGCGGGTGACGCGGGGGGAGTGGTGTCGTCTGTAGTGTCATGTAGTGTGTGTGCAGTTACCCGTTGTGCTGTATGTATCCGGGGTCGGGGCGGGCTGGTGACGCGGGGGGAGTGGTGTCGTGTGTAGTGTCATGTAGTGTGTGTGCAGTTACCCGTTGTGCTGTATGTATCCGGGGTCGGGGCGGGCGGGTGACGCGGGGGGAGTGATGTCGTGTGTAGTGTCATGTAGTGTGTGTGCAGTTACCCGTTGTGCTGTATGTATCCGGGGTCGGGGCGGGCGGGTGACGCGGGAGGAGTGGTGTCGTGTGTAGTGTCATGTAGTGTGTGTGCAGTTACCCGATGTGCTGTATGTATCCGGGGTCGGGGCGGGCGGGTGACGCGGGAGGAGTGGTGTCGTGTGTAGTGTCATGTAGTGTGTGTGCAGTTACCCGTTGTGCTGTATGTATCCGGGGTCGGGGCGGGCGGGTGACGCGGGGGGAGTGGTGTCGTCTGTAGTGTCATGTAGTGTGTGTGCAGTTACCCGTTGTGCTGTATGTATCTGGGGTCGGGGCGGGCTGGTGACGCGGGGGGAGTGGTGTCGTGTGTAGTGTCATGTAGTGTGTGTGCAGTTACCCGTTGTGCTGTATGTATCCGGGGTCGGGGCGGGCGGGTGACGCGGGAGGGAGTGATGTCGTCTGTAGTGTCATGTAGTGTGTGTGCAGTTACCCGTTGTGCTGTATGTATCCGGGGTCGGGGCGGGCGGGTGACGCGGGAGGGAGTGGTGTCTTGTGTAGTGTCATGTAGTGTGTGTGCAGTTACCCGTTGTGCTGTATGTATCCGGGGTCGGGGTGGGCGGGTGACGCGGGAGGGAGTGGTGTCTTGTGTAGTGTCATGTAGTGTGTGTGCAGTTACCCGTTGTGCTGTATGTATCCGGGGTCGGGGCGGGCGGGTGACGCGGGGGGAGTGATGTCGTGTGTAGTGTCATGTAGTGTGTGTGCAGTTACCCGTTGTGCTGTATGTATCCGGGGTCGGGGCGGACGGGTGACTCGGGGGGAGTGATGTCGTGTGTAGTGTCATGTAGTGTGTGTGCAGTTACCCGTTGTGCTGTATGTATCCGGGGTCGGGGCGGGCGGGTGACGCGGGGGGAGTGATGTCGTGTGTAGTGTCATGTAGTGTGTGTGCAGTTACCCGTTGTGCTGTATGTATCCGGGGTCGGGGCGGGTCGGCGTGGGCGTGGCGGGCAGGCGAGTGACGCGCGGGAGGGAGTCGTCGTTGCGGAGCGCGGGCAGAGCGCGCGACAAGAACCGCAGCGTATGGTTGCGGATTAATTCACTGTGAACAAACAATACACTTCAATATCACGCAATTGGAAAGTTACTTAATAGATTGCAATGTCGATATGGTAAGTCGATTTGTAAAATATATATGAAAAATTAAATAAATAAAAATACCCCGACTGAATAATACAGGTAGTGTAAAGTACTGCAGTATGGTGTAGTGTAGTGTGGTGTACTCACAAGGGGTAGGGCTCCCCGTCGACGCTCTGCCCCATAGGGTTGCGCGGTATGTCCCCGCGGTTGAGGTCGCCGCACAGGTTGTGTAGTGTGGTGTACTCACAAGGGGTAGGGCTCCCCGTCGACGCTCTGCCCCATAGGGTTGCGCGGTATGTCCCCGCGGTTGAGGTCGCCGCACAGGTTGTGTAGTGTGGTGTACTCACAAGGGGTAGGGCTCCCCGTCGACGCTCTGCCCCATAGGGTTGCGCGGTATGTCTCCGCGGTTGAGGTCGCCGCACAGGTTGTGTAGTGTGGTGTACTCACAAGGGGTAGGGTTCCCCGTCGACGCTCTGCCCCATAGGGTTGCGCGGTATGTCCCCGCGGTTGAGGTCGCCGCACAGGTTGTGTAGTGTGGTGAACTCACAAGGGGTAGGGCTCCCCGTCGACGCTCTGCCCCATAGGGTTGCGCGGTATGTCCCCGCGGTTGAGGTCGCCGCACAGGTTGTGTAGTGTGGTGTACTCACAAGGGGTAGGGCTCCCCGTCGACGCTCTGCCCCATAGGGTTGCGCGGTATGTCCCCGCGGTTGAGGTCGCCGCACAGGTTGTGTAGTGTGGTGTACTCACAAGGGGTAGGGCTCCCCGTCGACGCTCTGCCCCATAGGGTTGCGCGGTATGTCCCCGCGGTTGAGGTCGCCGCACAGGTTGTGTAGTGTGGTGTACTCACAAGGGGTAGGGCTCCCCGTCGACGCTCTGCCCCATAGGGTTGCGCGGTATGTCCCCGCGGTTGAGGTCGCCGCACAGGTTGTGCGCGGTGACGTGCGGCTTGCTGTCCCCGGCCTCCGCGCACTCCACGTCCACCTTGCGGTACGGGGGCGGGCGGACTCTGCCGATCAAAACATAAACATCTTTATCATCAGCCTATTAATGTCCCCTCTGCTGGGGCACAGGCCTGAACCTATGAATGGAATAGGGAGATTGGTCCATGCCCGCCCACGCGGGCTCAGTGCGGATTGGCAGGGGCTAACGACTGTACGAGTAGATGCAGCCGGGACCAGCTCGTGATAATAAATTTTTGGCCACCCATCCAATGAACACGCTCATCGACGCTTGCACTATCGAGCTCCTCATACATAAATAAAGTCCAAATATTTATTAGGTGTTTAATCATCATCAAAATTTTAAATACCTATAAACAGAAACATGCAAACATAAAAAAACACGCTTTTGTGGAAGCTAATGATTATCAATCTACAGCTGAATTAGCAGCAGCTTTCGATGTTAGCATCAAAACAATATTGGCAAATATATGAAAACCATTTGCGGCAAAATGGCAAGGTAAAAAAAGCTTGACAAATGGGTGACCTACGAATTGAATGATCGCCAGCGTGAAGTACGCGTTGATTCGAGCCTTGCACTGTTCAACAGGCACACAAACGAAGGCATTTTGAATAGCATTGTTACTTGAGTCATGAGGGCAAGATTTTTTGAATACCGAGGGATAACGTATTACAGCAACAAGAACAGCGAGCAAATCCAATCATGTTTGCCATAAGAGACAGCACCTTGCGCTCCCTTTCTATATCTGTATCGATTGCCCAAATATTTGAAACGATCAACCACGTAGAAACATTAATATCATTTAACATTAATTTTAGTATATTTTATAAATAACTATATTGTGGACATTATAATAAATTATTTTAATATATTTGAACTTCCCCTTTTCTTCAAAAACTTCAAACATTCACCGTTAGCTAGTGCAAGTCGGAACACCGCACGCCAGCCCATATGGATCCGAATTTGTATTAGACCAGCGAACCACATTGACCTAGTTTTCGTACCAGTATTTGAACAGACTAACAATATAATATAATACTATAACTGTTTAATTTATGCCACAGGATGTCGTTAGAAACCAAGTCATATGCTCTCGATATGTCCAGGAAGCAAATACAAGTCTTTCGATCTGTAAAGTATCTGACGATTTGTTTTAAACATAGAATTATTGTCTCCGTTGACGGTTGTCTTCCAGATTTAAAACCAAATTGGTTATCATGAATATTAAGGTATTTATCTACCTCAGAGTTAAGCAACCCCACCTTAGCTACCACAGTAGCCAAAGAGTTCTGCACTTCAGAATTGGTATCACCACAGTCTTCATCATTTCAGCAGGTAAATATGAGTGACTAACACAAAAAAGTATAAAACATTGTTAGAACTCTAGAAAGATGGGGTCCAGCATGCTTGAGGTGCTCAATACTCAGATTGTCATGCCCAGGTGACTTACCAAGATAAACCCCAAATTTTTAACTGATGTGTTGGTAATAAAATGAAATATTATTACCAGCCAGTTGGATGTTGGGTAGTGACTGTCAATCGACTCTGTCTATCATCCTAGAACTACCTACTGTCATGCTAGTTGTCTTGGAGGGATTCAAATCCATGCAGCTAGTTTTGTCTACACGATGCCAGAAGTAGTAGCTTGCTAGCTGCTGACTGCCATTAGCTTGCTAGGCCTCGTGTAACCCAAATGTATGAAACCGATAGCTCTCTGACGCGTCACTACACAACACGACAGATAAATTTAGATGTTAATGCACGAAACTTTATTTATTTATTGATGTTTCGTAGCCTTTACAGGCTACGTCGTCAGAATCAAATTTTATTTAATTTTGTCGAGCTACCTTCGAAAGACTTTTTATTGATTTGGTAGTTTACGGTAGGTAAGGTCAAATAAATAAACTCAAAATTACAAAAAGAATTTTAAATAAAGTACTTTATTAACTAAATTAAGTAATAAATTCAATTCAAAATTTTAAAAATCGAACAATGAAATAACCGAACGCTCAATAAAAAGTCTTTCGAAGGTAGCTCGACAAAATTAAATAAAATTTGATTCTGACGACGTAGCCTGTAAAGGCTACGAAACGTCAATAAATAAATAAAGTTTCGTGCATTAACCCGTAAAAAACTAGTTTTATTTAATGAGTGATGTGCGTGAAAACCTAAGAAATAATAAATTTAGATGTGCCATAAAACTCGCTAGTGAAGTAAGTACCTGGGCGGTGTCGCGTTTGGTGACTCAACGAACGCGTAGTACCCCTCAGGCGGGTCGTCGCTGTCAGCATCGGCAGCGTTGGCACCGGCCGCGGGCGCCGCACCGGCATCGTCGGAGCGGGCGGCCGGCGCGGCCGTTGTCGGCGGGGCTGTCGAGTCCGGCAGGACGGATGACGTCAGACAGCATAGTAAGCACTGAGGACAAGGAGAGCGTTTTGGTGATAAAGCGAGTGTATCTTTTTATCGTTTCAGAAATTGTTTGATTTCTTAAATTGTGATTACTTATTTATTGTTCCGTTACGATAATTCAAATTCTATATCATTTATTCAGTCTTGGGTGTTACAAGCACTTGTGAATATCGGAAAGTATCGGTTCGAAAATCTACTGTGGGATATTATGTACCGAGAAGAACCTAAAAGAAATTCAGCAAGGGAGGTTTTTTTCTCCCTGTTTTATATTATTTACAGTGTCGTCAATAGAAAGATGAGTTCAAAAATTAAAAACATTGACAGATTTCAAGTACCATCACATTCTTGAAAAAATTATAAACATACATTTACATGTCACGGGTCAATAGAGGATTAACGGAATGAGTTACAAAACTGAAATTTTGGTATTTTATATAGAATGCTTGCTCACAGCCGAATATTTAGTGAAAATTCAATTAATTTATCTTTCATGGAAAATACATGAAAATGAGACGGAATATCTTTTTTCTTTTTTACCCCACCATGTGACACTTCTTTGTCTAGAGCTTGTTGTATATCTTTATATATATAATTCTTCTGTGAGTGTGTATGTCACTGAACTTCTCTTAAACGACTGGACTGATTTTGATGAAATTTTTTGTGTGTGTTCAAGGGGATCTGAGAATGGTTTAGATTCACAATTTTGTCCGCTGGACAACCCCTATTTTTTTAGGGCGGTACGAAGTTCGCTGGGTCAGCTAGTAGAATATAAAATATATTTTTTATTATTTTTAGGGCTCCGTACCGGAGATACATTTTCAATAAACATCCAACATGTTTTCTATTAGCGTTATTTAGTGAATTGAAGATGTGTACAATAAGCTGATTCATTAATAAATCCTTCAAATAAACTCATTGAAAGCTCATGACGTGGCGCAACAAATTACCCCCCCCCACCTAATTTTAAGTGTAAGTGGAGTCCAGGCGCCTGGTGTGCCGCTCCAGCCATCCTCACCGCCCCGGCCTGAACCCAATCCGCTACCCCGCGGAGCCCTTTTTTTATACGCAGGCAAATAATACTGTTTACAGATAACGGCGCCTTAGAGGCACACCGCCGAACGGACCTCACACCTGGCTCCCGCAAGCCTTACAAGCTCCAGCAGTGGCTACCCACTGAGGACCCCGTAACTCTTACGGGCGCTTTACGGCATAATATACGCTAAAAAACCCTGCGAATACCCCGTTTAGGGATCCCCTCGCCCCGCGGAGCCCTGGAACTCTCCTCATAAGCAGTAACACAACACCACCACACCGAAATGAAGTGTATTCTACTGTAAGGTGAAGGTTGCTTCCCCAGACAAGCGTTCCAATTCTAGTGGAAAAAAACAGCCCTTGCTGAGTTTCTTTCTGGTTCTTCTCAGTACAAGGTCTCCCGCCGTAGATTTGCGAACCGATGGCGTAGCTTTTCGACATTCACAAGTGCTTGTAACAGCCTAGACTGAATAAACGATATTGATTTTGTTATTTTTTTATTTAGGCAGGCATACGGTTAGTACTTATTCTGTGATTCCAATGCAGATAGAATCTTTATACTCAACTTAATATTGTTTATGTGACTGGCACTATAGTTAGTGCGACATCCACTACATAGTAAATATGTCTAATTTTTTCTATGGGATTTAAACAGAGTAAATTTTTACTATAGATGAAACAACGCGACCTCTACGTTAAAACTAGAAATCATCTTCACTATAGCATAATATAGTTAACTAGCTGACCCAGCGAACTTCGTACCGCCCTAAAAAAATAGGGGTTGTCCAGCGGACAAAATTGTGAATCTAAACCATTCTCAGATCCCCTTGAACACACACAAAAAATTTCATCAAAATCGGTCCAGTCGTTTAAGAGAAGTTCAGTGACATACACACTCACAGAAGAATTATATATATAAAGATTGACTCGGTCTCGCGGTTCTTTTATATTATTCGGCACTATTTGATTTAAACGTCTGATTTTAGAACCTCGGTCATTGCTGCGAAGTGTTGTAAATAAGCGTTGTGTCGTGTCGGTAAGTTATCTTTGGCTGAAGCAATGAATAATATATAAGGAAAATCTTTATAATATAATATTACGAACATCTTAAATACTTCTTATTTAAATCTAAAGAAAAGATTACTAGAAAAAAATCCACACGGACAAGGCAGCGTACGGGACTCGAACTCGCACCCTTCGCAATCCGGGCGAATACACTGACCATTATACTACTCCGGCCCTATTGGCAGCGCCGAAATTTTCCTAGCCTTAAGCTGCAAGGCAGCGCCATCTCTTCGCATTGTAGGTAACCCACAATGTCAAATGAATACTTTTACAAGTATTAAACATTTGAAAGAAGAAATAGCAATTATAGTTATGTTTTTATTTATTTTTAAGCGTTTAACTGCTGGATGTTTAAATCTCTGTTTTTTTTTCTAGTAATATTTTCTTTAGATTTAAACATCTAGCAGTTAAATGCTTAAAAATAAATAAAAACATAACTACTTCTTATTTATTCAGTCAAATGATTAAAAAATATAAGAATACTTATTTGTTTTGTTATAAAAATGTCCTGCTTATAACAGCCTAAGCTAAGCTAGCCGTGCAGTACAAAAAATCTAGTATTGTCAACTTTTATCCAGCTGAAACATTTGAACTTGTTAGATTTTCTTCTAGTTAAAAAAATATTTGATCTTAAACTGTCAGCGGAGTCAAGTTAGTCATGGTTTAAACCTAAAGCTATCTCCTTCTTCTTTTTAGCAAACAAAAGTCACAGCATTAGTTTTAAACCAGGATTAACTTTAGTCAACGGTTTGTAATAAGGCGGATATAATCTTTCTCTTAGCAGCAGCT